ATAGTCGAACTCGTTTTTCGCCAACTTTAGCTTTTCGGGAGCTAGTCGTCGTGCTTTAGAGAATATAGGTGGTCCTGTAGTCGTGATGTGATGTGTAACGTTGGTGGTTACACACGGTAATCTCGGTTGCGTTTGTTGTATCTCAGGATACTTATGGAGTAGTGGCTGATAAAGTGGGTCTATCATATGCTTAATTGTGACTGGGGATAATTTGAAACCAGAAAAGGAAGTTACGCAAACGGACAACTTAGTGTTTCCGTCTACTAGCCTCCGTTTGCGAGTATCGATGATCAGATTATGGTGTTGTAGAAGGTCCATACCAATGATTGGCATAGAAACGTCTGCAAAAACGAAGATCCGGTGAATGGGTTTGCGTAAACCCACGTTAAGGTAAACGTACCTTTTGCCATACGTAGCGATCGGTTTTCCGTTTGCCGTCTGTAAGTTTAGGGTCGATTCGTGAAGTCGGTCGTTGGAATTCGCTGGGAGAACGCTAACTTCTGCGCCAGTGTATATCATTCTGAGTCGTTTGAGGCTTTTCTTTGACTGAAAATACCTCGGTAGTAGAAGGTTTCGTAATTTCTAAGATGCGGTCAGCAGATGCAGCCAGTTCGTCTAAGGCGTTGTTCTGAAACGAGACCAGAACTGCTTGCACCTGTTGGGGAAGTTTAGACAAGAAGAGTTGTTTAAATAGACCTTCGTCGAAAGTTCTTGGGCCTATAACCTCTCTCATTCTTTGCAACATGTCCGTCGCAGAACCGTGCTGCAGGTCTATGTTATTAAGGAGTTGATCTAACCTCTGTCGATCGGTTAGGTCTCCTCGTTTAAGAATCGAACGTTTTAAGGTTTCGTAAGGTTCAGAAACATCACTAGTAAACATACTAGGTGTTACGTACCTGTTGAATTCGCGCGGTAGTGCCTTGGCTACTGCGAGGAATTGTGCACGTGTGTCGATCACGCCGTGCTCGTGGAAGTCGGCTTCTGCGTAGCAGAACCAGGCTTCGATGTTGTTGGGCCAGAAAGGCATCAGTTGAAACGAAGGTGGGGACAAAGTCTCAAGCTTGAGTACGTTGGGGTGTCTGTTCAGTCATGATGAAATATGAACGAGGGGAAAATATATATATATCCAAGAAAAAACACGAAAAAAACCACATTGTTTAAAAAACAAGAAATAAGGCAATGATATATAAAAATCCCAAAAAGGAACAGACTCACAGTTGCAATTAGGTGTACCAGATCACGTCGGTCTCATCAATGAAGATGACACAGGTATTCAGTGTTTGACAACGCTTTCACCAGCATCACCTTCTAATATAATTTGTACGCACTGAGAGAAATTAAAAGACAGAGTCGAAGAGATCGGAAGAGTGTATTTGGCGATGACCAATACATCGGAATTCTCTGATCTAATCTGGCTAGCGACTGCGGTTGATGTTGTGCACAGCGTTACCACACGTGGTCTGGTGCGGATGCCTGACCGAGCGCCTTCAGCTAGATGAGTTCACTAAAACATATGGTCAGCATCCAATGTCGAAAACTTACAGTGCTATTTATTTTGGGGATTTATTTACCGCTGCAACCCAATTACCTTGTTTTAGTCTCAACTGAACAGTTATTCATCATCAGAAAAACGAAAAACTAACCATTAAAGAGATTCGGAGTCTGAAATTGTGGAATAGGAGCATAAGGATATCACCTATAATAATGTATGATGGAAGAGTGTAAACCATATGTTTTTTCATTTGGTTATATATTAGTGGAAATGGGGTTCGTAACATTCATGATCGGCTTATATATTATGCGGTCCATAATAAAGTGCCCCATTGCTGGGTGGAAGTTCAGGGAACAGTTGATGAGGCTCTTAACTGTCAAGCAATAGTGTTATTAGGCTTTTAAACTTGGTGATAATGTCACAGTTACGCATAGTTATTCACAACCTGTTCCACAAAAAACTATATCGCACTGTGAAAAAACTTACGACGCATCGGCTTTTAGTGTTTTATTGTAAGCAGTGAATAGGCATTGTTTTTGAATCTGTAGACTGAGTCATGGATCATAGTTCGGCAGGATGTGAGTAATGCGAGTCCATATATTGCTTTGTTCCTTAGCTGACGATACCCCAAAGATTCTAAGGACAGGTGCTTACATCTGTATGTATTTAAGAGTGGAGTCACATCCTAGCGGTGGGCACAAGAAGCGTCTCTGAATATCTACTCTTATCTTGTTTATGCTGTTCATGTCTGAGAAGATAAAAAAGCGATATTCAAGGGAGGTTGTGTACGAATTTTTTTAAAGGTTCAACTTAGTCTCTGATGTGAAGAAATATTTCATTATGGGACCAGTTAGTCGTCTGGATTTAGAAATGATAAAGGAGGCATGCCCCTCGAATTTTGCGCTCCTTGTGCAATTAATTTGCAGGTCGTGCACCGATTTCAGTGTTTGAACTCTACTTTTATTCAAGTAAAGTTTTAATTGATATGGATGTTCTACAAAATGCATGATCCCACACTTGTTGTGGTTAAATGGTAGTTGACATTTTTTGCTATAGATAGTTTATTGAAGTCACTTTGAATCTGGGGTACACTTTCACTTAGTCTCAGGCTTAGAGATGTATACTATTTTGAAGTTATCAGCGTATATGTATGGTTTCCAAAATTTTATGGTGTTACGTACATCGTTTGTATACACAAGGAACCAGAGTGGACCTAATAGACTTCACTGGATGACTCGACTAGATGTCGGTCTAGGTGACGAGAGAGACATTGTACTTTAAAACATGTTTACATTCTGTTACCAATGAAGCAAAACATGAATACAGTGTGTTGTTGATTGTAAAGGACTTTACTTTGGCTAGAAGCCCTTTGTGTGAGCTTTCTTAAAGTTTAATAATAAGACTGATACAAGGACTCCATTTTTCCGTTTCAACGTTTTATCATTCAGGTAGTCTACTAGGCATGTATCGCATGATCTGGACCTAAAAAACCCATGTTGCGTGGTCGAGATGGGATTACTAGTGATTTCATGTTGAGGTACCGCCGCCTTTAATACATGTTCCATCACTTTATGTACCACTGAGGTTATGTTTATGAGCCAGTAATTGTCAACATTTGCTTCTGGCCCTGTCATAATTTTGGGAATGATATATCTTGTTTTCCAGGCAGTACGATAACATGCTCAAAAGATTAATATTGCAAATAGTTTGAGAAATAAAACACACATATAATCACCTCCAATTATAAGCATGCTAGCCGGAATACCATCTGATCCATCCGTGTTGGAGTGTTTCAGAATGCTAATTGTCTTAGATATATTCTGTAAATTGAAGCCTACATTAGTCATTTCACAGAAAGACACTGGGATTCGTTCTGATTCATTTGGTGATTTTTCGTTAGCTTACGAGGAACAAAAATATCATTAAATATTTCCGTAACAAGTTTACGATCTTCGTAGTACGTTCAATTTCGTGTTAAAAGAGTCTGATAAGTAGGGCGGAGTTATTATTAAGTTCGACAGCATGCTCTTCCTGCGCGACTGTTTTCTGTGTACGTATTGCCTCTGCCTGGACAAATATTTGTGTAATAGTAACTAAATAAGAAAAGTCATTAAGGTAGTAAAATCGAGTACAATGTCTTTGGAGACGTCTTCGCGTATTGACCGGTACATACCGATCTTTAGAAAATTTAGCTTTCCGGCATTCTAAAGGTGCAATTTTGTTGAAGATATTTATGATGTTGTGATAGAATATATTAGTTAGTGTGTTGCTATTGTTTGCAGTAAAGAAGGTTCCCTAATCAGTACTTCTTAGGTAATTTTGGAAGCTTTTTCCGATCAACCTTGTGATGGTTTCTACGAAGTGTTAAAGTTTTGCGTCTTTCGATTGCGGTATTTATATTAAGACTACGTATGGTAATGTTATGATCAGTACTTGGAAACACAGGGGTGAGACCACTGGCAAAATCTAAGGTCCAATATATTTTGATGTCTGGTACGGCTACTAAAACACTAAGTCCATTGTCCAATCTCTAGACATTTAAGAAATGATTCATAACGTTTCGGCGCCTTGACTGGAAACCAAGAAATTTCAAGTATGTCGAAGTCACAACAAATAAGCTCGCCTGTGAACGGAAGAGATTATGCTAGTGTGAAAACCTCTGATAATACCGCTATTTCACCTACTAATGCATTAGATTGACGGTAGACACACCCGAATAGTACGATAATGAAATTCGATGTCTTTCAAACAACCCACAATGAATCCCACAGTTTGTTTAGTTGAGGCATATCTGGTAATAGTGAGTTTAAGCTAGAGTGAGCGTAAAGAAGGCACCCTCCACCTCGTCCTTTCAACCTACCACTTTGATAATATATATAGTTATAAAGAGATATACTTAGGTCGGAAATATTACTGTTAGCCCATGCTCCAGATATCATTAATAGTGATAGTCCATAAATGGATACAAACTCGGTTAAGTCCGGCTTTTTATTGCAGATCGACTTAGCGTTGATAAGCCACATATCAAACAAACGACCTACTGATTTAAAATGGGTGAGAGTACCTCGATGAAATTTGTTGCCACCCTCAAGGGTATGATGCCGGTTAAAATGAAAGATTAGTTGTTCTTCATTAGCTCGTTATTTTGATTGCTAGAGTGTGAGGAGGATATATCGAATGAGCTAGTGAAGTTGCTTGAAGCATTTACTTAGGAGGAAAGGGTATTTTGAACTTATTTTGTTTTAAAATTGTGAGACGTCAACCAAGGTTCTCACATCAACTTTATTTACAAGCATATAGCTGTACCTAATGTTTAATTTGTAAAAGGATTGTTTATGGTAAGACAGACAGTCTAACAACACACTGTTTTATATATAAGGCCCCTCCCACATTCTGCGGAATCGTGACACGGGTACTCAAACATATTATCCAGACTAGACGATCAGTAATTTTAAGACAATAATAATCTCTCCTAAAACCAAATGAATAATCCAATCTTATCCTTGGGATGTCCACACTGGAAGATGTGAATTGGATGAATGTTGTTCATCTAGGTAAGTTGATCTGACCTGAAGATTATATTTAGTCAGAATTTGACAATGCCATGGTTCACATCCTTTCTAATAAAAAGATCTCAAAGCCAGCATAAGCATAAATCATTGAGGAGAAAGGTCTATTTGATTTATTGGATGATGAATTGTAGTATGTAATATCTAGGTCGACTAATTATAGAACAAAGCGTTCTGCTTTGTGGTGAAACTAAATCTAGTAAGAATGCTCGGTTTAATGAATACAGCCAAGAGTGTGTACAGTAGAACCAATACGGCCAAAGTCAATATTGAGATCTTAAAAATCTACTTGCATTGGAAATTAAATTATCACCTCACGTCATAAGGTCTAATGGTGTACTGTTTTTAGTTAGCTGAGTTACTTGTTGAATTCTGATATGCATCAGATCTCGTTCCGTAATTACCCTGTTCTCAACCAAGTGAAAAGCACCCTTCTCAGACATTTACATCACGTCCAGTAATGTTGTTTCTCTGGAATCTCATGGACTAAACAGTCAGACATGGCAATTGCAATATACTTATTAGTCTTGGTTAGTCTTAATAAATATTTAACCAACAACCGTCCTTTCTAATATGTCTTACCACTGTATGTAAAAAGCTGCATCATCTATTGCCTTACAGAATAAGTTATTATTTGTGCATATTTAACAAACACTTCTTAACTAACTTCATATCCAAAATAAGGGGGAAGACAATAATACTCTAAGAAGTTATCTCTCGTAACAACTTGCACTGAAAGAGCACATTGATCTGTATCACTTCGCTCACAAATGCAAAAGAAGCACGTTAGATGCTGTTGTTATTCTGAATCACAATGTAGTGTTAAGCTTGGAAAATGGCAAAAAATATGTTTGATACCCTTTTCTTTACTACACTTCTGCTTCCTAACAGTTATTCAGCGTCACCTCCAACAGCTGAATAACCAACTGGCTATGTTTCTATTTCTTTGGAAGAGAGTAGTGCACTGTGTTTGGAGGAAAATGATTGGCGTCTCTATTATCTCACGAAGGTTTGCCAAAAGAGCTGTTCCTTTTCCTCTTCTTTTTTTCCTTTTTTCTGCATGATCTGCCATGTTCCAGAGAAAACACTCTTATTAAATATGTGGATGACTCCACTGTATGTATGCCGATTTCTACGTATTTACATACCCTTGAGTTCCTAAACAAAGTTCTAACCGAAAAGCTGTCCAGACTCAACTTTTTGAATAAACACTTCGTTTAATTTCAGGCATTTTATATACTCAAGTTATATATATTTATGCAGTTTTAAGGCTCATTTTTTTCATTATTTGTAAAATATTGCTGAAGTACCTTATAGCGAAAACTCTATATTGTACCGAAAATACTATAATACATCAAGCCATTAATAATAATAAATCATGGCTTAAAACAGCTGCTAGTTGAGTTTGGTAATGGTTCAGAGCGTTCGAGTGTTACGGTCACTTCTCCGGGCATCCGTAATCACTGAGAAAGATATTTTCCAAATTTAAAAAACCCAGTCATGTGAAACCTCACTTAGAATGTTGCACCAAAGCAGCTAACCTATTCCTTTATTAGGGTACATACATGATTGAGCGTGTTCATCTCGTGGGAACAAGCTGGGGGATGGATTTTTCAAACTCTTTTGTGATGAACGATTGAAACACATAAAAATGAAGATGCGACAAGTATTCACAGATTAAAAAGGCTGTGCAGGAAAACACGTAGCCACGAGTTCCTTTAAAGTGTGCTAAACCTCCATTCAGCGTCTTTCAATCGTATCAAGAAAAATGCCAGAGGTTAACATATGTTGCTTATCCACTGTTGTAAGACTAATCTCATTGTAATGTTGGGTACGTCCACGCAGTGTCAGTGGTACTTTGATATCTTAGTGTGCGTGCGTAGTTGCTTTTACGACATTTTTCTCAACTGTGAGAAATGATTTTCTGTGTTGTCTAAATAGATTATTTTTTTACTCCACGAGGTCCATCTGTAAGAGGTTTCATAAAAGACGTGATACTCCTTATGGATCGTTGATAGAAACCTACAAGTCCACGGAACGTGCGTGATTACTTGTCTGTAGCCAGTTTTGTGTAATCAAGAACGGCCGCTACTTTGCTTTTCAGAGGAAGAATGCCTTGAGTCAATAGCTCGCCAAGAACGTCCAGAGAGTGAGTTACGATCTGACTTTTTGAGTGTTTACAAAAAGGCCATTTTTCGAAGTATAGACGTTCGTGATGATATTCCATGTCCGGACCTGCAACCAAGTATTCGTCTGCATTCGTGTGCACGAAGTTAAGACCCTTGAATAAATCCTCGATTAATTCCTGAAAGGTCTTCACCGCGTTTTCATACCGACAAATCTGTGCTAAAACTCGTAGAGCCAAAGCGAGTGATGATAGCCATTCTAGAAGTGTTGCCTGAGAGAGGTTTTCATCAATTGTACGTCAATTTTTGATGTATTTTATGGAGACTTGTGCAAGGGAGATGCACATGGGCTGTTCAATGTTCGAATAATTACCAAGTCTATCATATAGCCAAATTCTTTTTTGGCCGACCTTAGCAATTCATGAGCTAGTCGAAGTTATTTTGAAAGTAAAAATGGTCCTGTAGCCGTGATGTAGTGAGTAGCATTGCTGATCACTAATAGTTATTTAGGTAGTGTCTGTTACAGTCCGCGGTACTCGTCGAGTATCTGTTGAGAGTATGGAAAGTTTGTGTGCTTAAAAGTGACTGGACATAACAAACAGATAATTTCGCAATTCTGCCTACTTAACTTCGATTACTAGAACTGATGATTAGATTATGGTGTTGTAGGATATTTACATCAGTGATTGGGATAGAACCACATGAAACAACGAAAATTCAATGAACGAATTTGAATGAACCCACGTTCATATAAGCATATCAATAACTATACGTGTCACTGGGTTTTTCGACTGCCGTCTGTAAGTTAAAGACCGACTCATACAGACAGTCGTCGGACTTCGTGAAATGAATGCTAACTTCTGCGCCAATGTCGGCGAGATGGCGAACTTTCATCATTGCATGGTCGCCTGACGGCTATGTTTTCAGGCTACAGTTGCTGATGGGAAAGTTTCCCGTAAGGTTTTCCGTGCCAGACGGCTTGGAGGTTGGGGAACTACAAAGTTTTCCGAGATTCCTAGAACGCTTGCCATACTTACTGTGGTACAGGCATTGTTCAAAATTATCTCTCTCGTGGTCTAAAGACAGACAGTTTTGTGACGAGCTCCTTCGAGGAGTTTTGAAGGGTCTGTAGTTATGAAGGACAATGAGGTAACGAATGGTGACAGTAATAAGATGTGTTATCTATCGTGTCGTTCGATAATTTCGTTCGGAAGACTAAATTTCGAAGCGGGGACTTCTGATGATCTTCAGAATCGAGTCAGCATATGCGACCAGTTCTTTTACGGAGTTATTTTTCGATGAGACAGGAACCGTTTGAACCTATTGGGGAAGCTTTAGTAGGAAGAGCTGTCGAAAAGGCTCTCGGGAAAGGTTCCTTACATACATAGCAATATTTCTGTTGCTCATTAGTGCCTTCACTACTGCGAGAAATAGGGGGACACCAACATATCACGTCGTGCCGGTGGAAGTCAGCTTCTGCGTCACGGAATCGAAAATACCAAAGTAATACTACGGTACGAAAGACAGATAAAAATAGCAAACTGGTATACAATGTTACAACAAGGAACAGACTACCGGTTTATCGCGTCGGTCTCATCACTAAAGATGCGTTAGTCATTCGGAGATTGACAACGCTTTTACACGTAACACCTTTATAATCGAAGTATCACAACCCAGTCAAATCAGATGTATGAAATGCAGGAGTTAGAAGATATACTTGGAAAGTCATAGATATGTCGAGAAACGTCTGATCTATGTTGCTTAGTAGTTGGAAGGGATGCGCAGCATGGCATATACACTCGTGGCCTGTTGCGGATGTGTGACTGAAAACAAACTAAAAATATTAAAATGAATCTGCCTATTTACCATCTTTATTGGTGAGGACTGAAGATTGAATGTACTGTCATCAGCAAATATATATATATATATATATATTCTCAAACCCAGACAAATGAAATTATAATTTCAGTTGAGCAATATTTTCAGCTGAGTTAATGAATTTAATGCCATCAAAGTAGGAATTAAACAGTTACCGTAGTTGTTATAATAAACCACTTTTCATAAGGATCGCTAAAAGCAAGTGTGTAAAGGAACTGGTCTAAGCGCGGAATCTAAAACCGGTGCAAGGTATGTTTAAGTTCTTGCGCATTCTGGTTCATTCTGTGTTCTATTGTTAATAATTACATCAGTTATCAAAGATCATCCTCAGTTTAGTATTTAACTTCACAATCATTAAACCAGAATTCTAGTTGCATCGTGAGAACCGTCTAATTTTGGTTGTCAATCTTTTAGGATAGTTTGTGACTTAATGCATCTATGTCGAGAAATTCAATAAAAGCAAACCGTCTAATAAGTGGAAGTATTCATCTTTTTTCGGTCATTATTTATATGGGACAGTTGTAATCAACACTTGTCAAACGTGAACTGTCTGATAAGTAATCTAAATTGTGACCATTATCTTAGGATTTAAGGCCCTTACATAATTTGCTTCTGATCTAAATGAAGTCCGTATACGTCTACTAAAACTACATATAAAAGCCATAGGTCAGCTTCCGGAACAAGTCTCAAAAATCGTTCATTCGTATCTACTCACGACCTTATTGTTTGTTAATAATTGAAGTGCACTCATGAATTTTTACCACATACCACTACAAATTGTTGGTGACATGCTTTACCTATTAAATGTAGGCCGTGTGGTATGCCATTAAAATGGTTGCGTGTTATGAAGACAATTTTCAACTTGATGTTTGCTTAGCTCGTATAATTTCAAGGATAATCCCTTTCGGTTCATTATTGGTTGTTCAGTGTTTTTGTTTGAGTACTCTGTTTAGACTTATTTAGTTAGGTGATACATAGTTGTTTTACAATAATCGAACGAAGTGGTCCTTTCCCAACCCCATTTGTTTAAAAAAAGGAGATTACAAAAACGATCTAGCTGGTGCCTCATCAATTGTAAGTGAAAATTCTCTGTTAACATCACAGTCTGTGGGTGAAAAAGTGGTCGCATTTGCTTCTTAAGATATTACTCAGTTCTATATTTACAAATTAGTGGTAATATCACGACTTTTAAGCAGTATAACTGGCTCTTTTATCAGTCATTAACACTTTTTAGCATTTATTAGCTGCGAACGAACCGGAATTAGAAATACCATGTGTACCTTCAGTCTGTTCTATATCTTAGCATCATCAGACCTCATTAAATAGTTTAGTACATATCTCTGTGCAATCTGTGGTGTAATTGCTAAGATAAACAGTTTACTGATCTTCCATTACATTTTGTACTAATTATAACTAATGGTTAGTACGAATTTATTCAGTTATATTGTTTGGTTTACAAAAAGAAAGTATCTTTTCTGTTGGAGTAACAGATATGTACTACCAGAAAGGGGTTTTGCGGAGATTGTATAAGAAAACCCTCCTTTACTTAGATTCTCTTAAGCTACATTTTAGGTGTAACTGGTTATGATATTTTCATACTTTCATTTCTCAATCCAGCCACTCAAACTGGTCTATGTTTATTGATTTATTTAAACAAATATTGGTACAAAGAGGCACTATATATATATATATATATATATAAACAGTGCAAACAGCAGCAATATCTATTAGCAATTTGAACCATAAGGTATCAAAAAATCAGTTGATTTCACCTAAGTCTATTGCATTGATAGATTTACGTAAACTCATCCCATCAGGCTCTGAATGCGATAAAGGGTGAAAACAAATCAGATGTAGGCTAACCAAGAGTCTAGGGAACGACCGTGAGCAGTGGTTAGCAACGGAAGCAAAAGAGATGGAAAAGGCAGAGGCTGCAGGTAACACCAGACAGCTTTTCAGACTAATAATAGAAATTGGGATTAATAACTCAAATGTACGTTAGACAATGCCCCCAAATGCCCTGGTACGGCCGAGAGTGGGGAGAGTCCGCTCTCCCTCTCGAAATGCTCTCACACGGCCACGCGTATATAGCCTCTGCCAGGGAAGTCCTACTCACTGCCTTCTCGTGGCGAGGGTGTTGTTTACGAAATTGAGAGGACGAAAAGCGAATGTCCGGCGCTTTAACCGGATTCCAAACCAATGGTGCACATGGGCTCCAGTATCCTACGGGAACAAATGGCGTATGAACCAATTGCTGGTCACCGGCTTCCATGGGACTGCATCTCCTTACGATGCTCCACTGCCTTGTGGATCAGACCATTAGGTCAAAGGCTCGGGGAGTGGCCCCTTAAGAAAACCACCTGCTTCGGTCTGGGCACCCGGGCAGTATCATAGCCCTCACACATATCGAATGAGATTTGTGTGGCGCACATGTATTTGGTGCCTCTTTGTACCATTATCTATGTGTTGAAATAAAAAAACGTTAGACAATGCTTATCTGCTCTCAGCTCGTGTTTAGAACGATGGGTGGAACGCTTTAAGGAACAGTTCAGCTGGCCTTCAGCGAACTTACAACTACCCACTACTTCAAAACAACCTGAATAGAACATTCAAATAGCCCCCTATACTGTCATTGACTGCTTCACCTAACGTTGCTCCACTGCTTTGTGAATCAGATCTATAAGTCGAAGGCTCCGGGCGTCGCTCCCAAAGAAAACCACCTGCTTCGATCTGGGCACCCGAGCAGTATCACAAGCCACACACAAATCAAGTGACTTGTGTGGCGCATATGTATTCGGTGCCCCTTTGTACTAATATTTATGTGTTCAAATAGATAAATGATGATGATGGTCTTTCTTGACTTAAAAGCAGCATTTGACTCTGTAGAGCGAGAGGTTCTGTGAGTGTCTTTCATTAGAAGGCGCACCTCAAAAGTACATGAATTTTGCGAAAGCTCTTAACTCGAACACTACCAGTCGAGTGAGTCAGTCAGTCAGCTACAACGTAGGACCAGGCACATATATGCATCGGTCCAAGTTGCCATACCTCATTAACACAACAAGATGGACACCGGATTCATAGCAGTGGTTAATTCAGAGGTGGTAATATATAAAAGAAAGATTGCAATAAGGATATAGTACAGGAAGAAAGATTTAGTTCGTAGAAAGATATGAAGCGATTTTAATCTCATGGTTTAAGGGAAGACAAAGAGTGTATACACCGACGCCATTGTGATCGATTCTGAGCCATGTCACTAAGAGTCTCCAACCATTGGTTACGATAGTCACGCGGACCCCAACCAAGTAGTCTGCATCTACCAGCATGGCTCAGACTAGAAGTTAGTGACTTCAAGCACTGATGCCACGTTTTGGTTTGGCCGCCCCTAACTTTCTTCCAACCATTTCCAATACCGGATAGCATTGCACGTCGTGGTAATCGGTGTTCAGGCATACGTAACACGTGGCCCAACCATCTCAGTCGATGAAGATTCATAACCTCATCAACTGATTTACCATCATTCCCTAATACCCTGCGTCTAACCTCACTATTACTTACCCGGTGATCCCAGCAGATGCCAGCAATATTTCTAAGGCATCTGTGGTCAAATACTAATAGCTTACGAGTGTCTTCTACTCTTAATGGCCATGTTTCGCTGCCGTAAATTAAAACAGAACGGACTGCCGTGCAGTATACTCGTCCTTTTATTGATAGACGGATATCTCGCCTACACCATAGGTGACGTAAGTTGGCAAAAGCCAAGCGAGCTTTTCGAATCCGTGTTGAGATTTCGTCAGACACCAACCCATTAGGGCTGATCAGACTTCCGAGATAAGTGAAGTTATCGACGCGTTCGACTACTTCAATCCCTATCCTTAGTTCAGGTGTTAACGCAGACCAGTCCTGAAGCAACAACTTGCATTTAGAGGGAGAGAAGCGCATTCCAAACATTCTGGCATTGTTGCTTAGTACTGCCAATAGACTCTGCATTTTATCAGCTTCTTCACCAAACAGGGCTATGTCATCTGCGTATTTGTTATGTTTCGTTATTGCTTGAATGCGATTACTGATGCGTCTTACTCGAAACGGAACGAAGGATCAATGATTCAGCGACTCGATAGACTATTCTGGTCCGTTGTCCCCAACTCTGCTAACTCGATCAAGAAGTCTGGGTAAGGTGTAGAAAGTGTATTCTACAGACAAACAGCAGATAACAAGTCAGGCAGGCAGATCAGATCAAGTATACAAGTCAAGCGTATTTATACAATTATTTACAATCGATATTGTCATGGAAGATTTTTGAATATTAATCAACAATTGACTGCTATTTGAACATTTAATCGATAGTTCATCAATTGACCTATTTGTACATTTAATCGATAGTTCATCAATTGACCTATCTGCACATTTAATCGATAAGTAAATTACAAAATTTGAGTTTTGGGGATCTATCGTCCCCAACACTCCTCCCCTTTTTAGAAGATCCGGAGTTGATATCCGGATTTTAAGTTTTCCAGGTCCATCCTCCCCCACGAAACAGTGTTGGATCCTCATATGCCCACGTTATAATTAACTTGAATTTATTTAAGACATATTTATCGCACTGAACAGAGAATTGACTGAAAGTGATTAAGTCTTGAGGCTGGACAACACTTGATATGAGGTGTTCGAAGTTTAATTCTTCTGAAATATTGTGACCAAATTTATTTGGAATCTTATTTGTAGATAATCGATCATCAAGGTAATTAGCATCTATCAAAATTGTATTAAGTTTTTGATCATCATTTGATGGATCTGACATATTTTCTGGTAAAAGAGAATCTTGATAATAAGATTTGTCAAAAACATCTGTCGCAGACTGATGAGAACCATTTGAAGCAGTTGTATTCAGTGTACTGCTCGATTTGTTTTCTGTTTCATGGGTGGTTATTGCGACAATTCTATGAGCATTTACCAGGGAGTGTGTTTGTGAGCTGGATAAGTCACCGTCTGCACATGCTGTTTTGGGGATAATGGAGTTTGAGTCCATTACCGGGCATGTTTCTGGAATGGAGAGGACTGGACCACTGGGCGAATCTTGAGTGACTGTTGTACCGTTTGAAATACGGTTTATCGGGGGTTCATTGGGGCTGCAATCATTTTCCAACTCTGAGTGCAGTTGAGAGATCAATCCATCCACTTCCGTTGCATCTCCAAAGCATGAGTGATTTAACAGCTGCGTGCGTAATTTGACTAAAAACTCCAACTGTCTTTCAAATAGCAGCTGTACTCGATCGGAAGGGAGAGTCATTTTTTTTTATTCAGCACCGGTAATGCAAATTACTGTTTGATTAATGACCAATGTTGCTGAAGGACACTGATGACAAATCTGGATGCTGAAGGCTGACTTTGGATTGTTCTTTTTTTTACCCCGTCGCCAATTGTTATGTTTCGTTATTGCTTGAATGCGATTACTGATGCGTCTTACTCGAAACGGAACGAAGGATCAATGATTCAGCGACTCGATAGACTATTCTGGTCCGTTGTCCCCAACTCTGCTAACTCGATCAAGAAGTCTGGGTAAGGTGTAGAAAGTGTATTCTACAGACAAACAGCAGATAACAAGTCAGGCAGGCAGATCAGATCAAGCATACAAGTCAAGCGTATTTATACAATTATTCACAATCGATATTGTCATGGAAGATTTTTGAACATTAATCAACAATTGACTGCTATTTGAACATTTAATCGATAGTTCATCAATTGACCTATCTGCACATTTAATCGATAAGTAAATTACAAAATTTGAGTTTTGGGGATCTATCGTCCCCAACAGTATTCAAAGTCGACAAGTGAACCTCCTGGTAGGAGATCAATACTCGATAATTCAGTCGACGAGAATGTCGAGTGAGAGCTTGTGGTGAACTGTCATCTGATTTCGCAACCTCAAGTGGTGTCCGACAAGTCTTTCGACTATCTCCATTTTTGTTCAATTTCACCATAGACCTACTACTTGAAATAAGGTTCCCGTCGATTGAATTTTCAGGAATTAATTCCCTTCCAGGAGGTCCACTTGTCGACTTAGAATACACTAGTGACATAGTCGTGTTTGGTGAAGACGCTGATGAAATGCAGTCTTTTGGCAGCACTGAGCAACAGTGTAAGGATGTTTGGGATCCGTTTCTCCTCCTCTAAATTCAATTTGTTGCTTCAGGGCTTACCTGCATCAACACTTGAACTAAGGATAGAGAGTGAAGTCTGACCAACCCTAATTGGTTGGTGTCTGATGAAATTTCTACATGGATTCAAAAAGGTCGTTTGGATTTTTTCAACTTATGTCACCTATGACGAAGACGAGATATCCGTCTATCAATTAAGGAATGAATATGCAGCGCATCTGTTCGTTTCGTTTTACTTTATGTCTGTTATACGTGACTATTAAGGATAGATGATACTCGTAAGTTACTAGTATTTTGTTACCGATGTCTTAGAAATATCGCTCACATTTGCTGGGGTCACCGAGTAAGTAATGGTGAGGTGATAGTAAATCGGTTTATGAGGTTGTGAATTTTCATGGACTGTGATGGTTCGGCCACGTGTTACGTGTAACTGAACACCGATTACCACAACGCGCAATGCTGACATGAAATCATTCCACAAAGTCGCTAACTTCTAGTCTGAGCCATGCTGGTAGATGCAGACTTCTCTGTTGAGATCCTCGTAATTGTCTTAAAACCGTTGGTTGGAGACTGTTTGTGTCATTGTTCAGAATCGATGAGAATGGTGTAGGTTTATACACTCTCTGTCTTCCCTTAAACCGTGAGAATAAAATTACTTTGTACCTTTCTTTCTATGACCTAATTCTTTCTCCTTGCATCATATCCTTATATTCAATCTTTTTTCATATATTTTACTACCATTGAAATAAGTGGTTGAATGACTTTGTTGATGTTGTTGTGCTAATGATGTGTGACATCTTGGACCGATGCATTTATGTGCCTGATCCAACGTTATAGATGACTAACTGACTCATTTAGATGCTTCTCCATTAATGTGAATTATTTGACTTAAACTCCGTATTTCCATGGTCTTGCATTGTTTATGAAAGATTTTAGCAAAGTCATCTACGATTGCTTTAAATATAACTTTTTTTCGTGAATTACCATTTCAGGTGTGGATGCAGACTCCTTATCTATAGTGGAAAATATGTAAGTCTAAATTTTTTGCGCGTTCATAAGCAACTGTGTTGGTACATATTTGTGTTATGCTTAGATTAATTAACTCCTCCAGGATCATTGTTTTCACATCTAAATACATAGTGTACCTCGTATTAACCTTTCTAGTCTCATCGCGAATGAGAAGTTAATACGATGTTTCCTGAGAATTTTTATCGTGTAATTCACTTTATGGGTGAGATTATGAAGTAGGTAAGTGTTATAAATCTCTCTCTTCTTACGGTTATGACCCAGCTATTCCTATTGCTTAGTATTCTTGGACACTAAATCACTCGACAAGACCCCAAATTAGAACACGGTTGGACAGGAAAGAGATTATATTCCAAATAACAAGGTTAGATGGAAGCAAGATGCAAGCCAGAAGCACAATAGGGAAAACGTCAGTGTATTTATAGTTTTTACATGAGAAGATTCTAGAGTATTCTCCAACTATCGACTAGTGCTGATTGGATAAGAATTAGCCAATCAGCGTGCACCAAAGCAATCGTGCATTGAGCTTGCTTTAACCTAGTCTATGTCCCGCTAACAGTAAGTTACTCTAGTTTTGAGACTTCGATCGTTTTTAAATTAAAACCTATTTTCATGTCAAAGGAATCTTTCTAAAGACAATTATTTGCAGCAGAAATGCTGGTCTAAAGGGGTACCAAAATATATATGCGCCACGCAATAAGAAAATGCGATTGCAAAGAGATAAGGAAGGAGAAGTCAGTGTAATCAATAAAAAATAAATTAATGAGCGTAAAAAGAGTAACAGGGAAACAGTTCAGTTAAGAATACAGTTCGAAAAGATCCTTTCAGTCAAATAAGATCCACTCACTTACGTGAAGAAATAAAAAGAAAAGTTCAACAGGACCCTCACTGGGTTCTATTCTTAGCCATATCTAGTAGCGTCTTAAGACGCTATGTGAAGGTCTGACAGGTTACTGCCATTTACCACTTTCACACGTTAGCATGTCATGTAATGACAACCTCCGCTTTATCCAACCAGTCCTAGCATCTGCAGTTAACACGTGATGTGGAATTCGCTGGGACGACATTCGTAGCACATGTGAGAGACACCGACTTTGGTTTTTCCAGGTAGTGACACCGATCCAATTATCGTTACTGCCCGAACGCACGTTGCCAAACCCTTGTATTACTGACGTGATGTTGCCACTAAATGTCAGCAGTGATCAAACAAAGAGAGTCACTTAACATTCTCAACTCGAAGAGACCAGGTTTCATAAGCACAGATCAAAACTGCTCTCACCGATGCGTTGTAGATCCGAACTTTTACAGTCAGACTAACGTCGTAAAGGCTCCAAAGATGGCCCATATTTACATAAGCCGCTCTGGCTTTCGCTAGACGTGAATTGATCTCATTACCCACGCCACTACCACACTTATGCAGCTACCCAGATACACGAACTTCTCGATTACTTCTATTTGCTCACTACCCAGAGTGAGTGCAGGTTCAGGGTCCTGCCAGTCTTGTTAAAGTATTTTGTACTTCGAAGGTGCAAAGCACATACCATAACTTACGGACACTGCCAACTGATCAAGTGCAGATTGCATAGCTAGGGTATCATCGTACAGTAGGACAATATCATCCACATACTCAAGGTCTAAAAGTCTCCAGGCAACAGATCCACACCACCATTACCTACATCCATCAGAACTGTTTCCAGAGCATCATCGATGGCAAAGTTGAAGAGCAATGGTGAGATTAAGCAACCCTGTTTAACCCCACTGTTTGAACGGAACAGTGGATAGAGGTGATTGTATGCCCTCACTACCTGAGATGTTTGTATAAAGGGCTTTCAAGATGTTAATAAACTTCTCAGGCACACCCATCTTCAATAGACAATCCCAGAGAACAACCCTGTCCAACGAATCGAAGGCAACCTTATTGTCAAGAAACACTACGACTGTTGGCCTGTGATAGGTATGATGATGTTCTAACCTTTTGAGGAGGGTGGATATGATGAATGCATCCTCGACCAGAACGAAAACCAGCCTGCTCCTCGCGAGTCAATCTTTCTCGAGTTTTGTACGATTTGTCAAGTAATAGTTTTTTTCCTATCATCAATGCCCTCTTAGTGGATATTACTTTTTCTATTTGTCCTGAACTAAATTTTCGATTTTGCATTTTACGAAAAGTAAGAATCTTCTATCGCATTTATATATCTAAAGCTTTGCATCTTTTGTAAATATAACTTGTTCTTTTTTTTACGAAGAATCACACTTATTTCAATAAATTAAATATTCGTTTTGTGTGACTAGAAAGTCAGACGCTGTTTGTGATTGTCCACATTGGTTATGTTATGCGGTATTGCCTATTGCTTTTTCATTCTTAATGCATATGCTGAGTGGCATTATATTTCGTGGTTGTCGAATTCTATAAGCTTTTTATGCTCCATTATTTCCAAAATGATTTCATGATTTCATAGACGTATGATTCAGTTAGAAATCTATGTAGATGACTTTTGCTTTTGTGTATCACATGTTCATAATCATTCCAACTTACACATTTGTAAAAGCATCGATAACTCTTAAATAATGTATGTATACTTTGTAACCTAATACACACAGATGTACAAATGAATCTGAAAAATCAATAATATGACGTAATCTCTGAGTAGCATTACATATAATTAGGTTAAAATAGTATTTGTTTACATTCGTTTGAATAGCTTCTGTTCCTGCTGTAAATTTAGAACGTTCTAAAAGTGATGCTAACTTCTCGTTTTTTGCACTTTCAGTTGCTTTTCAGACATGTCATTTGGAGAAATATTTATGATACTTATTGTTTATCTTTAATTAATTTAGAAAATTGAATTCGACCTAAGTTTTGATTTCATTCCACACAATTTTTCTGATTTAAATTAATTATTTACTTCATTAAATCGCTTATATCAAGCTTGCTTAAGAGACTGCTTTACTTTAGTGGGTGTGTAAATCTTTGTTTATGTGTGCGTATCTAATAAACTTTTTATTCCATTCGTCTATGGCACATAAAATTCGAAAAGTTAATGAATAATCTTATATGTTTTGTGTGTTTTTTGGCAATAGGGCATTTGTCTGTTGACCGTTGATGTAATTTTTCAGGATATCTTTACGTAATACTTTCATGGTCTTAATGTTCAATTGTGGATCGTATTATAGTAATACCGACGGGACACATATTAGATGTGAAATTAAAATTTTGAAATCACCGCGAAGGGAATTTGAAAGTTTTAACGTTTTATTCTGTGATTCTCAATCTTGTTTAGCGAAGCATTCAAAATCATCAAAGATAAATAAGGCCAAGAAATTTCTGGACCAAACGATTATTCAGTCATCTTCAAACATTAAATTTGTTTATGATGTGAAATGTTTTCAGATTACGATATATGATGTTCTAAATGTATGTGTAAATGTATATCATTCTTATCCGAATTTAATGGTTATGTGACACTTTAGGCTATTACCATGATCATAATTATATACTTAGATAGTCATCTAGGGGCTCCTACTTTTGTAAATTTTATCGAACATTAAAAACCCACAGGAAGTGATTTAATCCACAAAGTCATAGACTTAACATCATCCAAAATACCCGGGCAAAATCAGCAAGCCTGATGAAAGGGAAATGAATTATGGAATCAAAATTTAAAATGAATTGAAGAATAAAACTACTTCAACACGTATTGAAGAGATTGAAGTAGTGGGAATGTTTAATGGTTGCTCTTTATTTATTCATTCAACGATTAGGAAATCGTTGGTTATAATTTAAGAATATTTAAAATGTTATGAAAACGTAAATTTGCGTCGTAACTCGGGACACTCTTTGAGCTTATTACAAGCTTAACACTGTACATAAATTTCGTGTTATTCATATTTCGAAGGGATATACATTGATTAATAGAATTTGCTATAATGGGATCTCTAGCTTTTGTGACGATCTGAATTTTTATGTATTTACTATGAACAGGTGTATTATCATTGTAGTGTACACAGTCCCGTCAAAAATTCTGGTTTCAGTTTACAGATACTATTTTAGTCATTATGAAATTAGATGGATTGAATGGACCTTTTAAATAATGTGAACATTATATCAAGTAACATCAAGTCTGCCTACAAGATCTAATCGGTTAGCCACAAACTAGCATTTTCGACTAGTCAATTAAAAAAGATTATAATATCACATGAAGGTTGGTATTTTCTTCAATCCAACATATTTAGAAATACATTCAGGATGAATTCCAACGTATGCTTTACCAATAAAAGTAACAGTTGCTAGAAATCTGATTATCAGAGGTTTTTATCTTGTTATCGAACCACAAGGTAAATGGATTGGATAATATTTAATCATATCTACCCTAAGGACTAAATAATCATTCCAAATATTTTGTACGAAGTATAATTAACATGAAAGTAGAATTAAATCAAAATATCCACCAACAGTTTCGATTAAGACTATCGTCTCATACCATCAAGATAAATCCGAAAACACCATAATTCCAAATAAACATGTAAAATTGCGTTTTCGTATCATTGATGCTCTATTCTACACAAGTAAATACCAAGGATACGATATCCAAATAGGAACTACAGAACTAAATGCAGTAATTGTAATGTCGGCGAGACATTCAGGCAATTGATTGTAAGTGCTAGGGGATATAATGATGTTTAAAACTCTTAATCCTTAAATGGTTATTTAGCTTGACATCACCAGTAACAATACATTCAGTAGATAGGTAACACAAAATCGACTTTGAGACCAAAGCTATGCTAAACAAATACTTTCATACATAGATAAATCCGAAAAATCTGAATAGATGAGATAGTATGTAGCTGGGTGCACTTTAGTAAATGTTGATTAGTAAGTGATATTCTGTCCTTTCATACCTAACAAAGTACATTCAATTATTTAGTTAATTATTTTACTTTAATTCATCCGATTACCTTTGATTTACACAATAATACAACACCAACGACTATTTGAATCAACACACACTGACAAACTTCATATATGATCGTGTATTTTTTTACTTTACGATAATAACAGATTGACTAGTGTGATCATGGCCATGGCCTAAATTTTCACATTATCATTAGATTCGGATAAGAATAGCATACATTTAGAACACCATATATCGTAATCCGAAAACACTTCACATCATAAACAAATTTAGTATTTGAAGATGATTGGACAATTGTTTGGTTCAGAATTGTTTCTGGCCTTACTTGTATTTGGTAAAAAGTTGAAGTCATTCAGTCCCATCAGTGACGGGTTTTGTAACTAAAGTCTTTTATAAACTCGGTATTCACTGTTTTATGCAAATGTGCGTTTCATTCTTAACAGAATTTGACGTAAAAAATATCTACAGCCTTGTATTTGCTTTTGAGCTGTCACGTGTGTATTTGGTAATTCTCACTCAGATACCAATGTCTTTATAGTTTCCGAATAGTCGTTTGCGCGTCATATAGTTTGCTATGAATTACTGCTTCGCGTAGTTTATATATATATATATATATATATATATATATATATATATATATATATATATATATATATATATATATATATATATATTCGTAGTTTGGTAATGGGAGATAATATTATCGAACGCAATGTCATTTGTTCGAAGAATAACTCACCAACATATCATATTCGATGAAAATCCCTGACTGAGTGACAAAAAAGATCTAACTGTCAGTCATACGTAGTTGTGTTATTCTTCTCAACTGTAAATAGGATGAATAATTTATCTGTTGGCACATTCAAAATAATTAGAAATTGTATAACATGGAACCTAACATTCTTTAATTTTCTAACGTCATCCACCACCCTGTGAATCTAGAACTTCGACCATTAACTGTTATTCTTTTCGTTATAATGCGGTCCAATTTGTAAACAATAACCTCTGTTGTTTTGATCTACACAATATTTCACGTTTTTGTTTACCATTCTAAAATGAGTTCACCTATGTACCCCTTCTATATGTAGATTTCTACTCTTTCCGTTTCTTTTTATATGACGATAATTTAGAACTTATAATGGCAGATAATTAGCATTCTGTAAATTTATTTACTCTCCAAACACAGAATCTGACGCTCGTTCCTGAATTTTATTTTAACCACTTCTATAACTCAAATTCCTTTCTTAAGATCTTGTCCTTTTTGGCCAATCACTTAGATCACGCCAAATACCCATACATATTAAATTGTCTTAGCATCAATAAAAACGACTAATGAATGTGTTAGTGTTTTTATTTCTGCACAATGTAAATTCTAATTTGGTGGTTTATTCTGATCACATCTCGGTTTTAACGTTCATAAAAGCCTAGTAGTTGATATTTTCATATACTTATACTTTTTATTCAATGACTAAGACCAATTAGCTGTTAAGTCAAATTTACTCACCTTTTGTACAAAAATGTTTGTCATTAAAGCACACATTCATCATTATACCAGTTTGTCATACTTGTAATGGTTTCAACGTTCTCCGTCCTCATAACATACAAATGGATATTAAAAGTTTGAATACGCACCATCGGCTCTAATGTTATCCAACTCTATCAAATCAATTCTCTAGGTTTAAAATTCAAAAGATGCATTTTTCTGAGTTTCAAATATCATAGTGACATGAGGCTACAATACTAAGATCTAAGCGAACGTCTTTCAATTTGTTTGTCATATATTAGAATCTTGACTTACCTATAAGTGGTTATATGTAATTTCTTATATAACGAATGTTACAATTTATTGAACAAACTTTTAAGGGGTGGTGATTCAAGTTAGCGTGATCATAGAAAAGAAAGATATATTCGGTATTGTGGTTTACTGGTTTTATAGACATTTGTAACATCGTGATCAGTCGCTTGTTTATGCTTAACTAAGTTTACTGTTTAACAAAATTTCACTTCTTGAATATTCTTGTTTCTCAAAGATGAGTGCCTTAATATCCAACTAGTTGATTTGCGGTCATACCGATTTGATTTGTTTTTTCTTTTTTTATTATAGGAAAATACGAATCAGAAGTTTCCGATGTCAACGTATTTTTCACTTAATTCTAGTTGTCATAATAATCTTTGTCATAACAAGTTTACTTAGCTACTTTTATGAAGAGGTAAGTAAATTTTCTCTGTAATTTTCAATATCTGTTAGTAAGGTACTCAGTAATGTGAATAAATGGCTACTTAAACATAAATTTATTGGAAAATCTTTGATAGATTTATTACTTAAAATATCAACGTTTGGTCTGTGCTTTAAGTGGACACCTTTTATACATCATCTGTGATCATGAGCAATAAGAATAGATTGCTATTTGACACTGAAGAATCGATAAAATTGTATTTTGAATCTTATCATATTCAAGACTAAAAGAAAGGAAAATAATAAATATTTTTATTTATTTATTTATTTATTTGAACACATAAATATTGGTACAGGAGGGCACCGAATATATATGCGCCACAAAATAAATATTTAGGCATTATTGCAAGTGATTTAGAACAGTATCATAATAAAGTCTCCAAACACAGACCTCACTTATATCAACCAACTATTCATCATATTTATGTTAACAATGTCATATCTCAATTTAGTAGTCATTATTTGATTTCAACGCTGATTATCAACTTCACCAATAGAAGATTAATTGAACAAAAATACCATAGAAAATATTTATCTATTCTAATTAATAATCTAAGTAAACTCATTTCACAAAAGAGTTAATTAGTTAATTTTTAATAAATTACTTAAACCACGTTTTAAAGTTGTATACATTCAGTAGTTGAATTTGAATCCAGTGTCATGTATAAGTGTACGTGATCATTATGGAATTCGAATATTATAAATTAATCATATAAACAAAATTATCATTATTATTTTACTGCTTAAATTTACTAAGTCTCTAATTGCATGATAAGCTTCGTTATATTATTATAAATAAATGTAATAGGATTTTGAACATACTGTACTGATTCCTGAATAATTTCTACTTTGTGCATTTTTTCTGATAATTATAAGAAACAATGATTTTGAGCATCCATTTTACTAATCGGTACCGTTCATGAAAATAAGTGTTCACGTACACGTGTAACTCCATATCTTTATTGAGAGTCCGCTCTCCCTCGCGAAATGCTCTCACATGGCCACGCGTATATAGCCTCTGCCGGGGAAGTCTTACTCACTGCCTTCTCGTGGCGGGGGTGTTGTTTACGAAATTGAGAGGACGAAAAGCGAATGTCCGGTGCCTTAACCGGATTCCAAACCAATGGTGCACATGGGCTCCAGTATCCTGCGGGAACAAATGGCGTATGAACCAATTGCTGGTCACCGGCTTCCATGGGACTGCATCTCCTTACGATGCTCCACTGTTTTGTGGATCAGACTTTCAGGTCGAAGGCTCGGGGAGTGGCCTTCTAGGAAAACCACGTGCTTCGGTTTGGGCACCCGGGCAGTATCATAGCCCTCACACATATCGAATGAGATTTGTGTGGCGCATATGTATTTGGTGTCTCCTTGTACTAATATCTATGTCTTAAAATAAATAAATAAAATAAATATAATCCAGCCAGTTAAAATTAGTTTATGTTCTATCTGTGGGACGCCTTCTGTTGACTGAGAAATATTAGAAAATGTGTATCCCCAAAGACGTACATAGTACAAGTGCTACTCTGTTAAACCTTCACTACTTGGTCTCTTGTGTCGATAATAAAAGTGATGTCGATCTATCACATGACTTGATTTAATCAATATCAAACCTTTCTACTTTTCTGTACTTTGTTGTAATTGTATTAACCCATCTACCAGGTACTGATTCTTATACCTAATTTTGAACCACACTCTGTGTGGGCTGTTGGTACTACTTGGTTCCCAAAATCAAAGTAGGTGGAGTGGGGGTTAAAACCCGCAACTTAGTGGATGAAAGTCGAACGCTCTAAACATAGTGTTAGCACTCATTGATTCAAAAAATTAATATACTAATTCGTAAAATATCTATGGATCCAATCACAGAATTAGGATGTACTGACAATCGTATCCTCAAACTGAGACTTTGATTCTGAGAAGATTGTTCAAACAAGCGGATAGGTTTCGACAAGCAATCGTAAAATGATAAATACTTTATATAATCACACATTCAGTTTATTAAAGGAGTCAAATAAGTAAATACACCTGACAATCAAACATAACACGTATGCCTCAATGGTTATTGGCAAAATAGATGAACTAGTGGAATTTACTCATTACTGCAAAAAATAATAACAGATTATGCTCAAATTCCTGTCCGCTGGGATATGTAAACTTCACTTGTTAGCGGGACATAGACTAGATTAAAGCATGCTCAATGCATGATTGCTTTGGTGCACGTTGATTGGCTAATTCTTATCCAATCAACGCTAGTCGATAGTTGGAGAATATTCTGGATTTTTCTTATGTAAAAACTATAAATATACTGACGTTTTTCCCTATTGTGCTTCCTACTGGCTTCTGACTTGCTATTTGGAATATAATCTTTTTCCTGTTCAACCGTGTTTTGATTTGGGGACTTGTCGGGTGAATCTGTGTCCGAGAATACTAAGCAATAGGAATAGCTGGGCCATCAACCGTAAGAAAACAGAGTTATAACATCACTGTTCAACATTGCAGTTATTTCGAAGTATTAGTGACCTATGTGCAGTTTAGAACTAAATCATTTCTAAAAGTCATTCTCTTAATATAAACGAAATGATTTTTATCCAGCCAATAAACCCCATTTTCATATAAGATACTATGTAGAATAACTTAATGTTATTCAAAAAAATCCTAAATTTGTGTTACAATCACCGCTGTGACTCAATATCGTAGCTCAATTAATACTTGGGGAATAATTCTGGTTAAGATTACAAAAATCTGTCAGTAATCTCAAATTATCGGGTATTGCCTTCTTAATGTGACAAAATTTAACCTCTATTCTTAAAATCCAACTGTTATCTTGTTGACCGCTTTTCATTAAACATAAAATAGGATTTGTTGCACCTATAATTTTATTGTCTACAACACTGAGTAATACATTTCAAACCTTTTTTAAATAGGATATTTATTTTTGCTCGGCACGTAGCCATAGTCTGAAGTTATTTTTAATATTGTATTTCAAACTAATTAACTGTCTTCCCTTTTCATTGTGTCCATATTAATCGATAGGTTTTTTTTAGAATTGCTCTCTTTACTTAGTTTATATGTATATATGATCGGTTCATGTGTATAAGATATGAAACCGAAGTTTTACATTGTCTTAATGTAACAGTCTGTTTACCTCGTAATAATTTGGCTTAACTTTATTGACCAGAGCCATTTTTCATAGACGTAGACAATATACGTCCTGGCACAATCATATATTGATCTAATTCGCAACACTACAAATTAGCACAGCTAGGGTGGAAACTAACAAAATAAAATTTAGGACAAAGATGATCACAATATCAATTGCAGTGAAAAAATATACTTTAGCTTTTAAGTTGACTTGTTTGTTCGGCTTGGCAAATGTAACAAACTAATCAGGTTATATTGATTGTAACATTTGTTTCGTAGTCTTTTCATACCAAGCACTTCGGTACGAGAGCGGTAAAAATTAAAACAAGATGTTTGTAAATAAAGTTCTGTTGCCGACTATGGCTATGATGGAAACGGTGCTTCACATGGATGATGAACATCTTGCCTTCTCGTTGATGGAAGGAATGATCAAAGTAGTTAAACTTCAATCCAACTTGTTTCATTCAGTCATAAAATTCAAAAAAAAGTGTATGAAACATTTTGAAATTAAATACTACAATCATCTTAGATTTCTAAGTTTTGTACTGAGTTTTATCTTCGTACAGATTTAGGAATATTAGATTTTTCTCTGATAATTACTTTTTTCGATGTTATTTCTTTTGATTACTTAACTTGACACTAAGTCGTCTAAATTCTTCCCAAAATTGCTAAACACTCATTACGAGATTCACTTTTAGTACACTAAAAACCCTGTTAGCGTATTCAAGGTACTGCAAATTTTTATTTACCGTTAAAATTCCTATACAATGACTAGTTGTATACTCACTCAGACTTAGATCGACCTTTTTCTGACAATTTTGTAACCATTACAGTTTTTATAAACATTTCAGGAGTAAATTTAGCATTTCGAAAGGAGATAATTATTTCCAGGAATTGTTTCAGTATGTCATTCATATATTACTATATTTCCAGTGCATTACCAAAAACTCCTACTCATTCAATATTTTTTACAATTGATTTCAGTATTAAAGAAATCGTTTCGTGTAATTTTTCTCTTTATAAGGTTCCTAAATTCCCAAAGCCACCGATAATCGGACCTCCATATGACCTTCCAGAGTCTGACCAGGATTCTCGTCAAATCCAACCACCTGCACAAATACCTATAGAATCCGATGTTTTAGAAAATGCAAAAAAGCTTCCTACTCAAACACTTCCTATTTCTAAAAATCTTTCGCCAATTGCAGCTTTCAAATATGGAACACTTATTTCCAAGGAAGAAATTCAAGGTGGCGTTCCTGCAAATAAGACAGTAGCCTCTATGCGAGATAAGGTTCGAGAGGTAAGCTATGGATCTACGGTTTTGCTATTCATACACCGTTACATTAATTGAAATGTTTCAGACACCAAAGCACAAAACATATTGACGAATGACTTTTAAAATGTGATTTTTCTCTATCCCTAGTTCACTTCAGAGATTTAGTTCTCAACATTTGCTACTCGATACCAGTCATTTTCGCGAGATCCTACTTTCAAAATTCTTAAAAATGTTCCCAGTATATACTGTTTTTCTTAAAACAGATTTAGATATTTATATTTCGCATTGTTTTTAGCACCATTTGCATTATTAATACTGTTCTATTCTTATGCCGTTAATGTTTGAAACCTTGAAAGCTTATTTATGACATTCAATTAAAACCTTTGGCCGTTACCAACTCCCTCTATCAAAAGTGATATATATTTTTGCTCCATACTTTTTTTCACCATCTCGTGTTAATAAATTTTTGTAGACTTGCCAGGAAATATACAATTCCACCATACCTTACATACTGAAGTAAACCAGTTGTTTAGATGACCGTGATCACATTTGAAATCGCAAGTCTATTTAAGCTAGACCACCGTAGAAAACGGGGAAACACTGGATTTCTGTTTAATGTAAATAAAACAATCTTTTGATTCATCTTGTGTTGATTGTCTGAATCTTCCCATTGACGCTTAGGACTTCAATTGATCAGTCTCTCTTATTGTCAGATGTTCATTCTGTGCGGATTGACTCGATATTTTCTTAAGTCACAGGCATTATAATGAATGGTGGCTAACAGGGGACTCATGTTTCGTTCTACTTGTATGTACCTTTATCAAACTTCACCTCACTGCATAAGCTGGTGGCTATTTGGGCTCAGTAGTGAGTTGGATAACGCTATAACATTTCAGGCGAACGGTACTGGGTTTGAGTCATGGAGTGAGCGTCAACTCTGGAGTCGAGGCACATCAAGCTGATGACCCCCAAGTAGGACGAAACGGGCGTCGTGAATTCAAATACTAGCTACCATCCATCTGTTTACAAAACAATCTCTTATCTGCTAGATTTGAAATGTGTCAGGAACTCATTGTCTCTTGTTTGTTTCTGTGTCACTAGTCATCAAACCTGTGTTATTTTAAATTTTATTTTCTGTGTAAAATTTATTACCTATTTACACATTAACTTGACATTTTCGTTCAATTTTAGTCAGTTAAAAAACACATTTCATTTACAATAAAAGAAGGGTTATCTATATATTATCTACGATGAATTTATTCAATTCATAAATAATATATGTACAATCATTTTTCTAAAAGCTTTAATATATCTATAAAGGTAGCATTTTAATTAACTCATACAATTATACATACTATTTAAACACAGAAACTTGGTCATGTCTTTAAATTGGTACAGTGTTTTCAAAAGTCCACAGAATATACATTGTTACTGTTATTATTGCAAAATGGTTTTTTATTCAATAATACAATAATCGAGAGGATATTATCAAGTGTTTATGATTCCCCAGGTGATATATTCTACGTGTAATCATTGTAATTGTATTAGGTATAATAAAGCTTTCATGGTTAAATTCAGTTTACTGACAAAATTACTGTAGAGGAACTTGTTGAAGTTTCCTAGTTTAAAGAAATATGGCTTGAATTGTACATTAGACTATAAACATCCATTTGCTGCCAAGTTCATTTTGTGATTATTTAACAAAATTGCTATGTAAGTTTTTCCATACCATATAAACCAATCTCCTTCCTGTACTCGTATATTCTGTTCCATTAGATGGAAATGTACGTGCGTACGTTCGTAGTGTTGCTATGTTTTTGTTACAGTTTTACATTGACATATACGGTAGTAGTTGCTACCTTGGTGTAGTGGTCGGGCTTGCCTATTGCGATGAGCCAATCAGGTTATATTTGCTGGAACAATCGTTCGTCAGGATCCTACCATGCCGGGCAGGTCGGTTGGAGAGCGGAAAAACTAAAATAATCAAACCCAATGTCTGAGGGTGAAGTCGTACTGTTGACTATACAGAGGTGTGATGGAAGTAAGGTGTTTCCTTCAGACAACCTGCATAACAGCGATACTACCTTCCCACAAATGAAGGGTGGGGTTAGTGAAGGTCGACCCTTAAAATGCACACTTCGCCTTATCCCACGCGCACCGTCTCCGACGGTACGGTCCCAACAAATACGGAGCTGGCACGAAAACTACTCACAAAAAGGTCGTGTGTGACCGACCCCAAGCAGCTGTTCGTTGAGCACTGCGGTCATGCTCTCAGGTCACTAAGCCCAACTCTAACCCGATTTCCTTTTCAGGTACCTCTAGAACAACCCTTCCACAGTGTGAGCAACCGGGAAGTGATAACCGCCCTCATACCTCTAACAGCACTCATGACCACTGTAATAATAATCTATCTCCCTCTTCAATTCTTGTTATTTCTCCTACGTCGACTCTCAACCCTAAACCTCCTTCTTTTGACTTCCTCCTCATGTGTTACCATAGCCAACGATTCTAGTGCTCAAAACACTGTCCCAGGTCTACTGAAACCTCGGTCCAAACTACGCATTGAAGCGTTGAACTTACGTACCCTGTGTCGAATCTGCCAGCAAGCCTTTTTGGCTAAAATCCTAGAATCTCATACAATTGATGTATATTGTGTCTCCGAAACATACATACAAGGTAGTAGCACTAAGTATGACATAAGAGCAAGCACTTTCAGAATGGAACCCTGTTAACGGTTACCTATGTGCTGTTCGGCTAAATGACCTCGGAAGGATAGGGACACACGTCGTTGCCTTTTCTTCATTTATGGCCACGCTTCCACTTGCTTTAGACTGAGCACCCGAGCAGTATCACAAGCCACACACAAATCAAGTGACTTGTGTGGCGCATATGTATTCGGTGCCCCTTTGTACCAATATTTATGTGTTCAAATAGATAAATGATGATGATGGTCTTTCTTGATTTAAAAGCAGCATTTGACTCTGTAGAGCGAGAGGTTCTGTGATAGTGTCTTTCATTGGAAGGCGCACCTCAAAAGTACATAAATTTTGCGAAAGCTCTTAACTCGAACACTACCAGTCGAGTGAGAGCTTGTGGCGAACTGTCATCTGATTTCGCAACCTCAAGTGGTGTCCGACAAGTCTTTCGACTATCTCCATTTTTGTTCAATTTCACCATAGACCTACTACTTGAAATAAGGTTCCCGTCGATTGAATTTTCAGGAATTAATTCCCTTCCAGGAGGTCCACTTGTCGACTTAGAATACACTAGTGACATAGTCGTGTTTGGTGAAGACGCTGATGAAATGCAGTCTTTTGGTAGCACTGAGCAACAGTGTAAGGATGTTTGGGATCCATTTCTCCTCCTCTAAATTCAATTTGTTGCTTCAGAACTTGCCCGTTTAAAGCGTGATTGTTATCTATATTAGTTTTCCGTTTCAAATACTAATAAATGACTAATAACTAAAAGCAGAAATTACTCCATCTTTTAACATCATGTCTCATGTATCGACACTTCTATTGTAGACGTGATCAAGATTTACTAATTGTTCGTATTATTTTAATGGAATCTTACAATTTATCTATCAACCAACAAAATTAATCATTATTGTAATGTTCTTACTAACTCTTCTGTCTTCTGTTTCTTTGTGTGTATTCGAAAATATTTATAAAGTATATCTTTACTCGTAAAATGCTTTATGATATTTGTTAATATGAGGTAAAATTATGAATAATTCTTTACTGCTCGGTCCTTTACTTTTTACGGTTGCTGAACTCAAGCTACTATCATTTATAATTTCATTCGAGCATATTCGTGTGCGGAAATTAAACTGCATGGAATATAATATCTGTTCTAGTAAGGCTATGCAAAGTACGCGTACTTATAATGCGTTACCCAAGTATAATTACTAGGTAAATTAAAAAGAAGCTACAGTCGTTCAGACGTCCACAAGTAGTCAGTTATGTCTGTGTTACACAACTTTACTGTTTATTTTAAGGAAAAATTGAAAAACAATTGCAATCTGATTAAAATGTATATAGTACATTTGGGAGTCATAGGTCGATCTTTACAAAATTTACTGCCTTACTGTTTTGTCTCTGAATTTATATCAGCTTTTATCATTAGCTTAGCATAAATATTGAAATTTTCCAAATGTTATTGCCCCATCTTGTACAGTTATCGATCTTCAGCCCCCTGTATTTGTTTATGTAATTATGCTTTTAAAGTCTGGATTCTAAAATTATTGAGGATTATAGAGTATATTTTCAAGTTGTAATCCATTTTGTTTGTGTATTTTTTTTTGATAAACTTTAGATGATGAAGTTTGCTTGGAATGGTTATGTTACCTATGCATGGGGAAGTAATGAATTGAGACCGTTTTCAAAAACTGGCCACTTACCCTTTGTACTTGGAAATGAACCACTCGGGGCTTCCTTAGTCGATAGTTTGGATACTTTGTACATAATGAATTTGAACAAAGAATTCAACACAGCTGTAGAATGGATAGAAATGAATCTGGATTTTAACAAAGTATCTATTTTTGATTCTGTCATTTTATATACATTTTTGAAATGCATAGAAACTTTCTTAGCTTTAAGTATAAAAAGTAATGAATGAAATGGAATTAATCAAAGCCATAAAACTTATTTATATAATGCAAGATGTATTTTAATAACCTTTGTTATGATTTATCGAAGTAATTTTGGTTAAATGTCCCTTCCTGCTTGAAATTCATAAGCTTAAATGTTTTGTTATGGTCAGTTTTATCATTAGAACTCAGCATTCACCATCTAAGATACCAAATCATCCCTTCGATTATGGATCATCAATGTTCACATTTTACTGAAGAGACAGCACATTTCATTATGACTTGTTTTATTTTCGTTTATTTGATCCAATCGATTGAATTTATCACAATAAGTTATGTAAAATTCATCCGTTTGAAGTTCAACTTACAGTGTCATTCTAATTTTTGTTTTATTGTAGCTGCATAACGCTAATTTATAAACAATTATAATCTGCCTGCAAATAGTCTAACCCGTTCATTCGTCAGTAATAAAGTGTTATTCTCTGGATTAGATTTTATCAGTTACTCATAATTTGTGAAATCACGTAGATGTAATAAGTAAATATATTTATATATACCTGATATAAACTAGAAAAACATTTAAAAAAGCGAATACAGTGAAATGGCTATTATCAACAAAAACAATTTTCACAATTTTATGTGATGACCAGTTTGAAGAACAAACAAACACAGAGTTATTCACTTCTCTTATTTTATGCAAATAGGTGAATGCTGTGAATTCATTTGAATTATCTTTATAGATTTTATATTGTATTTAGTCCAGTACATACACACTGTTACTAGTAGTGATAGATACACTTATGTATTTCTATCACATGAACTGTAGTATGTTCATACTTTGGGTTTTCTTATACAAACTTTAGTAAGTTTATAACAATAATAATAATAATAGTGAAAACTAACGATTAATGTACAAATTATTACTTAGTAATAACAATAATGCTTAATTTTTGTTTTTTCTTTAAAATTTATATTACAATGGCGTATACGACTAATTATAACTCTGATAGACACTAAAGACCAGAACCTAAATTGTTCACAGAAGTTATTGTTATATGTATTCTATGGTTATTAAAAAAACCATCACAGTAATCATAAGTGATCAGAGAATTGTTCATTTTAATTATATAAATAAATTCAGCAAGGAAGTTAATTCAATGGATTAAGGTGAATAATAATGCATACTTGATTGTTGTAATATGATGTTAACTATGTGGAAATGTCGACTGTTGTAACCTCACTTAAGATATTATAAAGACGTCCAACTGTGTTTGTGAAGGTTAGATTCTGCTGCTTAGCAATTCGTTTCGATTTTTTTGATAAACTGTCGAAGAATTGCATAGTTTCAAGATATCTCCCCCGAAAATGTTAAAACCACCGATTGATCAGTAACTTATTAGGGATCTAGTTGTAGTTGGTACCGTTGTGACTTAATGTTTAGACAACGTAGTCAGTCAGTAATAATCCTGTTTGGTAGCTCTTTATTATTATCATTTCCTGTGAAAAATAGCTAATTATTTGCTCATTGTTTTTATATCTTTCTGATAAATATTTTATTTGGTGTGTTTTGTTCAGTTTTTTTTCTGTGTGTTATAAGTATCTAGTTTTCACGGAAATTATATCTATCACCAATTATACAGCTCATTCAGACATCGATCAGTATGCTCACAATATCTATGCTTCAACTGATAGATGAACTTTTCGACTCAAGCTATTCAGCATCCAGACATCTACTTATAACAGATGTTTTAACTAGTGCATTGTCACCAGTCTGCCTCGTTTTACCGCATTATATTTAGGTAGATATGGAGAAAAAATCATCTGTATACGTGGACTTTTTTACTCATCATTAAGATTGTGTAGTAAATTAAAATTATGTTTATACTTTAAAATTAAACTGCATCATCGCACCATTTCATCTTATGTGAGAAAAAGTTGTTGTAATTTAACTGTCAACAAATTTATTACTCTATATAATATTTGAGATTTTAAATACTTAATTCATTCTTTGTACTTTGAACTTTTCCTTCACAGAACACTCAGGTGTCCGTGTTTGAATTTAATATTAGGTATATTGGTGGCCTGCTGTCTGCTTACACGTTCAGTAGAAAACCTGTAGGTTTATTTTAAATATAAAAGTTATTTTCCACATTGATTGATGTGCGGTATAAAAATAATCTCATTATCATTATTACTATCTCGTGAAATAGTTACATTTTTTGTTCGTAGGAGTTTTTATGGGGGTTGATTTGGTTTATATGTAGATTTCCTTGCAGACTGATCTCATATAGAGTACCATTAAAAATTATCAAGCACTGAAGAGTTTTTTCATCCCAGTCCGGAACTCCTTAGTTGGGTACGCACACGACCCGACTAAGTGGCCGAACCCAGAACCTTCAATCCTCCTACTAAATCCTGAAATATTAGAGCTTATAGAGTGCAGTCATGTCGGGAGTGAAACAGTTGTCACCAGCAGCACTGGATAGTCATCCTTTTACATCTCAAATCACACCAGTTGTTACTAAACGTTTTATGAATTTTGTGAAACACCATTTATTTTATTTATTTATTTGAACACATGAATATTGGTACAAGAGAGCGCCAATATATATGCGCCACACAAAACAATGAGAATTCGAAGAGAAGTAGAAAAAAGCTAAGGAGCGCAAAAAAAAGAGAACAATAACGAGGAGATTGGTGTAAGGTAGTATGGTAGAAATGAGGGAACGGAAAGGTGCAATCACAAGAAATCTTTCAGGTAAGGGAGACACAACCACTTTTTATGAAGAAAGTAAAAGAAGGTTACAGCAGGATCGCCACTGGCTTCTATTCTGAGCCATATCTGATAACGTCTCTAGCCACTGTGTAGCACCATCTCTCAGACCCCAACCAGGGAGTCGTGAAGGACCGACAGAAGCCAGTCCTTTGCAGCTTTCTTACATGCCACGACACCATGTCATACACTGACCACCTCTCCGCTTCTTCCAACCAGTCCCAGAGTCGGCAAATAATGCACGACGTGGAATTCTCTGGGACGACATTCGGAGAACATGTCCAAGCCACCGAAGTCGGTGTTTCAAGATGGTGACACCAACTGAATTATCATCTCTGTGCCCGAACACACGATGCCGAACCTCTGCATTACTGACATGGTGTTGCCACTGAATGTCAGCAATCCTTCGGAGACAGCGATGATCGAACACAGAGTCTTCTAACGTCCTCAACTCAGAGAGGCCAGGTTTCACAAGCATAGAGCAAAACTGCTCTCACCGACGCGTTGTAGATCCGACCTTTTACAGCCAGACTAACATCACGAAGGCGCCAAAGATGGCCCAGATTGGTATAAGCCGCTCTGGCTTTCACTATACGTGCATTGATCTCATTACTCACACCCCCACCAGCACTTATGCCGCTACTCAGATACACAAACTTCTCGACTACTTCTATCTGCTCACCATCCAGGGTGAGTACAGGATTGGAATCCTGCCAGTCTTGTAGAAGTACTTTGCACTTCGAAGGTGCAAAGCACATACCGTACCTACGGACACTGATTGCCAACTGATTAAGTGCGGATTGCATGCCTTGGGCATTATCGCACAGTAAGACAATATCGTCCGCATACTCAAGGTCGAGAAGTCTTTCTCCAGGCAACAGATCCACACCACCATTACTTACATTCATCAGAGATGTTTCCAGAATGTCATCGATGGCAAAGTTGAAGAGGAATGGTCCTGTCCAACGAATCGAAGGCAGCCCTGATGTCAAGAAACACTACGATTGTTGGCCTTTGATAAGTATGACGGTGTTCTAACATTTGGCGGAGGGTAAAGATATGATCAATACATCCTCGACCAGAACGAAACCCAGCCTGCTCCTCGCGAGTCAATCTTTCTCGGGTTTTGAACAACCTACGAAGTATGACGGAAGCCAATAGCTTGGACGCAATCGGAAGTAGACTTATTCCTCGATAGTTGTTACAGGAACGACGTGAACCCTTTCTAAAAATAGGGACAACTATCGACTCATTCCATGACGTTGGTACACTCTCTAGTTCCCAAACCTTTGTAAATAACGTCGTCAATTCCTTAGTCAAAAAGTCACCACCATCTTTAAAAAGAGCCGGAGGTAAGTCATCTGGGCCAGGTGATTTGTAACGCTTCAAGAGTTGGAGTTCCTTGCGGACTTCCTCCTCGTTTGGTGGATCAGTTGTCACCGGCCATAGAGGGCAGGACAGTCTGACCGATGTTGCCGGAGCAGCAGGCCAGTGAACTGCCTTTCGAAAAATTCTGCCCATCGTCCAAGACGTCGATGGATGTTAGTGATTGGCATCCCATCATCCTCGCAGATTGTTTCACTCACACCAGACTTCTTGCTGCCAGTGGCTCGGATGAGTTGGAAGAGCTTCCGGTAGTTACCAGATGCAGCTGCTGCTTCCAGCTCATTAGCACGCTTCGACCACCAGGCTTCTCGGTCCTTACGCAAGCTTTGTCCAATTTCATTACGCAACAGTCGTCGTTTGTGGTCAAACTCACGGGCACTCGGAGTAGACCGACGGGCTTCAATGAGTTGTAAGTAGCCTGAAGAAACCCAGTGCTTATAAGCAGGACGTTTCGCGAACCCACAACTGAGTGTACCCGCCATTTTCATAGCGTCATGCAATTGCAGCCAATGCTCATCTATACTTTTCGGTGGAGTGGTAGCTAGCCTAGAGGCTAGCTCGGTTCGATACTTACTTGCAACAGAAGTCGCAACCAGCTTGCTAATATCAATCCGTTGATGGCGGTCACTTCGTTGTCCACTGAAAAGTAAGGCAGGATTGGCGCAGACCAAGGCATGGTCAGAGTCCAGATAGGTGCTCCAAAAGGAGCGGAAGTCTTGTGCACAACCACTCCAGCAGTAGCTGATCGCGATGTGATCAATCTGAGTCCAGGCCTGGGATGCAGATGGAGGACGCCAGGTGGCACATCGAGGATGACTGTGCCGAAAGTTAGTGCTAGCCAGAAATAGGTTGTGGTCTGTGCATAGTTGCAGTAGACGGTCCCCGTTATCTGACCTGCGACCAACAAGTCCCCATTGGCCACCTAGACGACTCTCTGTTGTGCCTAGACGTCCGACCTGAGCATTCAAATCTCCGGCTACTACTGCAATATCTGTCGAACGCACTTTCTGGAGAAGAACAGATAACTGGTGGTAAAACTCATCCTTGATTGCATCCGGTCTGCAATCTGTCGGGGCATAAGCGGAGATGACGAAAAGACATCGTTTCTCACGCCGATTTCTTCTCACTTTGATGGAACTTTCTAATCTAACAGCACATAAATGACTGTTAATGGGGATCTAGTCGATTAGTGCTGTTTCATCCCGAGCTCTTAATACGACCCTAACGCCAGCAAAACCATACGATGCCACAGGGTCCCCGGATTAACTCACCTAATACAAACTTTTCAAAGCGACAGTTGGAGAGCGAATTTGTAGTACTTCACTAGAGTCTTGAATATGGGTCTCCGAATGACAACAGACGTCTATATTGAGACTCTAAAGACATAGCCAACCTCTTCTGTTGTCCAATCCGCACAAGTGTGCGAACGTTGAAGGCAGCCAGTTTGAATGGTGCACGTGGTTTCAGAAAAACTGCTTCAGTCCTCGTATTCGGTGGTAACATACAAATTTCAACCGGACAGTGACACGAGAACGTTTAGATACAGTCGAATTTCCACCAAAGACTAGCCGCTGTATAAGTATAAAAGAGTGTTGAATAATGTGGTAAATAATAATAATAATAATAATAATAATAATAATAATAATAATAATAATAATAATAATAGTAATAATTTGATTGTTAGTTGAAGCAAGTAAAGTAGTTTCCATAATTATAGGCAGTTCATCATATTTGCGTGTGGGCTGTGATACTGTCCGGGTGCCCAGACCGAAGCAGGTGGTTATCTTAGGGGGCCACACCCCGAGCCTTTGACCTAAAGGTCTAACCCACAAGGCAGTGGAGCATCGTAAGGAGATGCGTCCCATGGTAGCCGGTGACCAACGAGTGGTTCATACGCCATTTGTTCCCGCAGGATACTGGAGCCCATGTGCACCATTGGTTTGGAATCCGGTTAACGCGCCGGACATTCACTTTTCGTCTTCTCATTTTCGTAAACAACACCCTCGCCACGAGAAGGCAATGAGTAGGACTTCCCTGACAGAGGCTGTATACACGTGGCCGTGTGAGAGTATTTCGAGAGGGAGAGCGGCCGTACCAAAGCATTTACAAATCGAACTCATCTCTCCATAAAGTCTCATTAAAATAGTTACTGTGTAGTGGAACGTGGTATCGATTTACCAACAGTTGCCAGACAGAGTGAACAGTTTCGGTGCATCGAAAGCACAGCATTGGCAGAAAACCTGGAGGCCAGTCGAGAAGATAGTTCAGATTACAAGACACAACGAAAGATGAGAATGAACAATTGAAGGCTATATATATATGCTATGTAAATAATTTGTAACTTCTCTCTATAAATATGCATACCTCCTGCCTATTGTCTTGTTTTTTCGATTTTATCTTCACAGCACGGATTAGCTTCAAGATAGATTTATCAACATTCTACTACGACACTGTCGTATATGTAGTCATGTTATGATTGCTTTCTGTGGGAGTTATTTACTAATAATAACATTGGATAATAGTTACACTGTATCATAAACTCGCTGGAGTTTCTTTTTACCCCACACTGGTACACAATAATTATTATCTAAAAATGAGTATCAAGTGTTGATGGAAAACAATCGCAAATTTTGTATTCCATTTAAAAATTATTTATTTCCTGCTCTTCCAATTTCATGCTTTCACTTATTATTTAGCGCACGTTACTCGCTCTTGTTGTTTTATCGTTTTGCACTTTTTTGCAGATTTATTTGTTTACAAGTGCATTAAAGGAAGTAGGGATATCCTAAGTCAAATGTAAATGAAGAAATGAGTTGATTTCAATTAATTAATAATTGCACTGAAGGAATATATATATATATATATATATATATATATATATATATATATATATATATATATACTAGTTAATACATTTAATTAATAAAGTGTATATTTGTACATTCATCAAGTGAACTTTTTACATATTTTTTACTGTTCGATAGTAAAACATAAAAACTATTAACTAATGCTTTCTAATTTTTTATACTGATAATATTAAGTTTTCAGTAATCCCCCGGTTCACCATCATATCAGTTACTTTCATATTGTACTCCTTACAAAAACTACCTTAATTCATAACAATAATTATTATGACGTGCTTGACCCTTTAGTTTAATTGAATAAGTTAGAAAATCTTGTCTTATACACAACCATATACATCTATTGTGTCTTTCCAGTCGAGTGTTTCTCATACACATGATTTTCATTTAGTAATTATCATGAATACCAAAGTACGTATAATTTATTTATCTAATACGTAGAGATGTAAATGCATTCATATTTGTACACGTTATTTTTCAAAAGTGATTACTATCCACTTTCAAGTCATATTATATTGGTTTACATAATAAATCACTCATTGTACGCAACTGCTTCTCAAAATCATTCAGCCTTCTGTGTTCTAACTACTTTTCGTTGATAATATCTACTGATTGTAATTGGAATTAAGTCAAATCAGTAGTTTAAAATGTTATCAAAACAAAACGAGATATTGTCATTCATAGTCTTCTAAATGTTAAACACTACACTTCTTTATATCGGTCATCATAACATTACCTCTACATTCTTGTCATTCCTTAGAAAAGTTATCTTCATTAATTTTAGGTGATGCTATTGTGAGCTACCTTCTCTCTCTGTCAACATACTTTCATAAAACTATGTTTTGTTTCATATTTGTCTTTCTGTCCAAGTGTTGTTTTTTCTCTGATGCAAAATTCAAAGTTTTTTAGAATAATGTGTGAAAAAAATTTTCTACCTATGTATTATAAGTGGCCAAGATTATTCTGGACAAAATTGTCATAAATAATCATTATTAATTCATCTTGGAAAAAATTAGTGATATTTGTTTTCATGATAGAATGTTGTCATAACATACACTAAGTAATTCATAAAATTTTATCGACTAAAGAATAACAAAACTAAACCCAAACTAATTGTTTCCAGGTTAATTTTATCCTAAAAAGGACTGGACTTGTATTCACAAACAAAGTACTCTTCGCTCTAAATAAAGGTATGAAACCGTCAATACGAAGAACATATGTGTTTCGTTCATCAAAATGCCTTTCATTTACCATTACTGTTTATTGTACTTTACAAAAGTGATCCACCAAACATTAGAATTTTCATGCTTAACACAAATTATGTTTCCGCTTTTAACACAGTGGACTAAATATACTATGAACTCCCAATGATACTAATATATTTATCATCTTATCCCCCTCATTTGTCGATATGTCTTCTGTGATTCAAACTAAACTTTTTGAAATGAAAAATATATGCACTGTTATCCTTCTTACTCTTTATTCTCAGTAGCATAATAAATTAAACAATCTGAGCATATCCTATGTTTTTGTTTTTATATAAACAAGTAGTATGATTTGCATAAAATAAATCTAAACCAATCGTTTCACTGGGATTTTGATAAGTTTATAACTGATCATTCAGATTGTGGAATGAAATCCTTTCCCTACTATCACAACTGACCATGTAGCAATTCTTAACTAAATAATTCATTTTGCCGTTCTAAATTTATTATCTCGAAATGCTATTCATTTTGTTTGTTTGTTTTTTACCTTTTAATCATAAATATTATTGTGGTTGATCGATTATTTATTTGTTTGTGCATGTCTATCTTAATAAGCATGTTATTACTGTGATACACGTTGTTTATTCGTTCTGTTTTGATCTCATTTTCTTTATAGCAAATTATCTTTATTAGTCTGTTATTAGCTTGTAATAGGAAACGTTTTTTAGAATAGGGAATTCATTTCTTATTAATACTCGGTATTAATAATTAAGTCAATTATAGGTAGATTTCCTCCTCAGAAAATCAATGATATATATATATATATATATATATATATATATATATAACTATTCACGGTCAGCACTTGGTTGAATTGTATTACGGAGAATTGACTTTATCACTTGATAGTCAACTTCAAAATGTATTCCATACATTATTGTTCATCGCTATGTGAATACAATTTTTACTAAGGAAATAGTAACTGGTTGTTTATAACCCTTGATTTTAGTACAAATGTTTTTGTGTGGCTATTACAGTTGTTCAGTATTTTCCTAGTACGATGAAAACCGCTAAAATTTAATATACACATATCTGCAACATAGATGTTCACTTCACTGCAGTACTATTTCCCAGCATATTAATATATGAGCAGTTCTTCAATACATTTTGTCCTACTTTGTTTATATTAAACTCGACAACTTCAGTTCAAAGGCGCATACATTAAATATTAATATTTACACCATTACTTTTGTCTCCGAAACTACAGTCGCATTTAGTCTAAATAAATTTCAAATACTTAGACAAAATACTGTGCTATTTCATTATGAAAACTTATGTTTGATAAATAATGTTGTTCAAAAGTAAACAAGATATTTTGTTAACTCGAATGTGTTCCGTTCGGTAATCTTCCATTGCTACCGATAATAAACTTAATGACAAAAATAATTCATTGATCACTCATCTTTCTAAACATACTATTATACTTTAATTACCTCAGCTGAGTTTTAACTAGGCTACTGCGTTGTGTATAATAATTTTCATAAATCTTCGAGTTCATCACACCAACTTTTACAACTCAATAGTCTAGTCGTTTCGAACACCGATTTTTTTGTAGTTTTACACTACATATTGATTTCATTAAGACAAACATTGAAAATTAGGAAGAATAAATATCTCATTCTAGTAGCTTTGAAGCCTTGAACGAAGGCCTCCAGGTCTCACAGCGATCACTTCACCTACAGATCATTGAATTGGAAACAGGTGGTTTAAATTCTTAACTTAAGTCATTTGACAATCTCACATGTCCATCATTAATTGTCATCGGTAGCATTTATCTCGTATTCCACTTGGTTATTTTAATTTTCAAGTTTAATGAATTCTATGAAGGTAAAATGTACCTTTAGAGCCTGAAATAATTCTCTGTAAAAACAGTCTTTCTGTAAACAACAATTAATTATTGTTTTATAGACATTAATTTTTCATTTTAATTCATAATAAGTGTTCTTTGTTTTTTTCTTTATATTTATGGCCTATCTTCATTGTTGTTTGGTTTTGTTTCTTTTTACTTCAGATTTTACTGACTAAAGCGGTTGAACTTGCTCAACGTTTATTACCTGCATTTGATACACCTAGTGGAATTCCAATGAGTTTAATCAATTTGAAAACGTAAATAACAATTTGTTTTTATTTTTCTTTCTACTTATACCAACTGAAAATATTGTTTATTAGTGGTAAACATGGTGATTAAAATGATAATGTGTGCGTGCCTTCATTGTTTTAACATTTAACTCCTTGTTATGTTATATGCTTTGCTTGAAATATGCTGAGTGATTCAATTTTTACGACCTTATAGTTGAGTTTGTAGACACACCTGTTTACTTTTCCGTTTCAATTCATTTAATCCAGTTCATCTTTTAAAATTAGTTTTATGATATTTTATTGCAGTTGTACTTTCCTTAAGACATTGTAATTATACACATCTGGAGATTTTTCAATCGAGCTCCTACACTTAACTTTACTGAATTTGATACATATTATTCGGTGGTTTAGTTCAAATTGCTCATGGTTGTCGTATTATGTGTCAGTAGTGTGAATAAAATTTATTTCTATTCTAACCCAAGCTAACCATTCTGTAGAAGTTATTGTTACTCTTAAAATACATCATCATATAAGTGGAATTTCGTTCTCTGAGCTGGATAGTTTGGTCGTGGAGCTTCTACCTAAAGTTTGCTCTGATGATGTTGTTCGGAAGAACAGTAAAAGCGCTACAAACAAGCCGTCCAGTTCAAAGAACAAAACTCTACCTAAATCATCCTCCTGAGCTAAATATCTCCACGTCATCATTTGTAGCAGGTAACAGTTTTGTAGTACTTAATATACTGCTAAACAATTGAGTTACAAATTACAACTTTACGTAAATGCCCGATTGTTACATTTTTTTTAGACAAACACAAAAGTTTCACATTTAACACATTAGCAGACTTGTATTCTTAATTTTAGTAATAATACACACTAGGTTTAATTAACTAACCGTAAAAATATACTGTTTGTTTTTCTGTAATATCGATCATGGTGTATATTTTTTCTCAAATCTAGTCCATGTACGTATTTTAGATCAATGTTATTTTGCATAAGTTTTTATGTCTGTTTATCTACATTTGTACAAATACAAATCTACACTTTAAACCTCTTATCTTTGCATCCTTTATTAGGATATATATATTTATATTTGCTTATTTATTTAAGTATATTCTTCAGTAATATTTTTAACGAATTTTACTAATTAAAATGTTATATGAGTTTATACTGTATTGAAGGATAATCATAATTAGTTACATGTAGTTGACCTCATTTTCTATGGGAATATGAATGTGCTCTTCCATTGGGTCTGTGTGTGCGTGTATGAATAAATACATTAGTTTGCTTTTACCTGGTGGTCAGTCCTATCTACTCTATTAGTTGTACTTATTTTCGTTCTTGTGTTGTTTTACTGTTATCAGATAATTCCATGTGTTCATTATCACCTGCGGAATGAACCAATTCATGCTATTTTTTGTTAATATTGTTTATTTAAAAAGATATTTATATAAATTACCATTCTCCAGACTTTGAATGAAAGTTTGTTTTGTCATAATGACAAATATAGTGTGTATAGTTAGTAATTAAGTTTCTGGATATCTTAAATTTTCAGTTAATGGAGTTTATAAATCTCATCGTAATTAGTAAACATTTTTATTTAAATCGCTGCATATTTTTGTCCTGTGAAATTGTGTTTGAGATTGAATGATAATACTCTAAGTACCTGCTATTGTTGGATATTTTTAAGCACTAAGTAACGTATTGGCTAAGTAGTCAAAACATTCATGTTTCGACGGCTGAATGACGGGTTCGAAACCTGTTTTACTTAGTTTAATTTCAGGAGGTCGACAGTTATATAAAGCATGTTGCTAAAAGCCGAGTATTTTTTAAAATAATTTTTTAGATTGTAATTCATTTACTTAGTTCAAACGTACTCGATAAGCGTTACTCATATTATGCGGACCGAATCAGCCAGTCAATACTCATGTTTTTGTAATCAGTTTGAAATTCCTATCAATTCGTTTTATTCTTTAGTCATTTACATCGTTGGTTTGACTAAAGTTACTAGGCCTACATATTTGTTGATATCTTTGGACAATATATCAATCCGAATTTACTTGTAGTTAACTGAATCAACGGTTAACACTATTTCCACAAAACTCATCCGTTTCGTTTAGTGCCCACAGATCTTGCTGTATTCAAAGGACTGTATGTTTCATACACTAAACACACGTTTAACGTAAAAAGTAATCTAAATAACTCATTTTGTTTATTCCTTTGAAAATAATTCGAAAGATCTTATCAGACTATTGATTAAAATGTTTATCATATGTTGATTCGATTATAGGTGTTTCAAATCATCATCATCACCACACACAATGAATGAAATTTGTGTGGCGCATATATATTTAGTCCCGACCGTTGTTGCTACCTTGACGTGGTGGTCGGGCTTGCCTATCGTGATGAAGCAACCGAGCTATACTGTCTGGAACAACCGTTCCTCAAGGTCCTACCATGTCAGACAGGTCGGTTGAAGAGCGGTAAGACTAAAAGCAACAAACCCAAGGTCCGAAGGCGAAGTAGTACTGATGACTGTACAGAGGTGTGACAGCAGTAAGGTGTTTCCTTCAGACAACCAGCATGACAGCGATCCTGCCTTCCCACAAGGAGGGGTGGGGTTAGAAAAGGTCGACCCTAAAAATGCACACCTCACGGATTTCCGTTTCCGGCGGTAAGGCCCTTTGAAAAACGGAGCTAACACGTCAAAAACCTCCCACGAAAAGGCCGTGCGCGACCGGCCTCAAGCAGTTGTCTCTTGGGCACTGCGGTCACGCTCTCAGGTCACTGAGACCACCTCTAATCCAATTTCCTTTTCAGGTACCTCCAGAAGAACCCTTCCTCGGTGTGGGCAACCGGGAAGTGATAACCGCCCTCATACCTCTAACAGCACCCAAGACCACTGTATTCATAATCGACCTTCCTCTTCAATTCCTATTATTCCTCCTACATCGACTTTCAACTCTAAACTTCCTCTTTCGGCTTCCTCCTCAAATGTCACCATAGCCAACGATTCTAGTGCTCAAAACTCTGTCCCAGGTCTACTGAAACCTCGCTCCAAACTACACATTGGAGCCTTCAACGTACGCACCATATGTCAAATCGGTCAGCAGGCTTCCTTGGCTAAAACCCTAGAGTCTCTTTCCATTGATGTATGCTGTGTCTCCGAAACACGCATACAGGATTCCAGTGTGGTCATTCACTTGACCTCACTTCGGCAAAACGGAGAGCCAACGAGATACACCCTCCGTGTATCTGGTGACGCGATGGCCAGCTCTCGTGGACTGGCAGGAGTAGGGATAGCACTAAGCATGAGGGCGGAACAAGCACTGTTAGAGTGGATCCCCGTCAACAGTCGTCTATGTGCTGTTCGGCTAAACGGCTCCGTAAGAACTCGGAAGGATAAGGACACACGTCGTTGCCTTTTTGTCGTTTCTGTCTACGCTCCCACCGACTGCAGCTCAGATGAAGTGAAAGATGAATTTTACAGAAAGCTATCTGAACTTCTTCAAAAAGCTAAACGTTCAGACATAATACTCGTAGCAGGTAACTTTATTGCTCAGATAGGTAGTTTAAACCAAACAGAAAGGCATTTGGGTGGGTATTTCAGTATTCCGGCACAACGAACAGATAATGGTGATCGTCTGCCGCAACTGTGCTCAGACAATCGTTTATTTTTAGCAAACACAAATTTTAAGCATAAGGAGAGACATCGTCTAACATGGCGACCCCCTACACCAAACCAACGATGGACTCAAATAGACTATATTGCCATCAATCATCGTTGGAGAGGGTCGGTAGAAGATTGTCGCTCATTCTGGAGTACCTGCTTGGACTCCGACCACGCCCTAATACGGACACGCATCTGCTTGCGCCTCATTGGACGCAAAAAAGCCACATTAAAAAGACCCATTAGAACTGAGTTGAGTAACGAGAAAACCAAAAGTAGGTTCCAGGAACAACTGAGGTCACGATTAGGTAGTTCTGAAAACGAGACTGACTCAGATGTTGCTTGGAAAGATATACAAGCAGCTGTGGAAACAGCAATGAAATCTATTAGTGACTTAAACCACAGAGTTACAAAGAACCAGTGGATTTCTTCAAAGTCTATCACACTGATGGATTCTCGCAAACTCGTCCCATCAGGTTCTAAACATGATGAAGAGCGACAACAAATCAGATCTAGGTTAAGAAAAAGTCTAAGAAACGACCGTGAGCAGTGGTGTGTAACGAAAGCAAAAGAGATGGAAAAGGCGGCGACTATAGGGAACACAAGACAGCTTTACAGACTAATAAAAGAAACTGGAATTAATAAGTCAAGTGTAAGTGAGATTATATCAGAAAAAGACGATACTCTCATCTGCTCTCAGTCCAGACGTTTAGAACGATGGGCGGAACATTTCAGAGAACAGTTCAACTGGCCTTCAGCTACTCTACAACTACCCTCCATTCCCAGACAGCCTGAATGGAACATTGAAGTAGGTCCCCCAACTCTAGCAGAAGTTCAAAAGGCTATAGTTAATCTGAAACGAGGAAGGGCAGCTGGTCCAGATGGACTGGCTCCAGAGGTCTTTAAGGATGGTGGTCCAATTTTAGCGATTAGGTTGACTAATATTTTAGCTAAGATCTGGGAGTTAGACGTTATCCCATCTGACTGGTCACAATCACTTATCGTCCCAATATATAAGAAAGGGTCAAAATCATCCTGTGACAACCACAGAGGGATTAGTTTAACTAATATCGTATCTAAAATACTAGCCTCGATAATTATCGGACACTTAACTAGGACTCGTGAACTGCAAACACGAGAGAATCAAACTGGCTTCAGACCTGTTCGTGGCTGCATCGACCACATATTCACCATTCGTCAGATTCTAGAACACAGGCATACTTATCGGCGTCCGACAATGGTGGTTTTTCTCGACTTAAAAGCAGCATTTGACTCTGTAGACCGCGAGATTCTGTGGCAGTGTCTGTCATTAAAAGGCGTACCCCAGAAGTACATAAACCTTGTAAAGGCTCTTTACTCGAACACTACCAGTCGAGTGAGAGCTTATGGCGAACTGTCATCTACTTTTGCAACCTCAAGTGGTGTCCGTCAAGGCTGTCCACTTTCTCCATTTTTGTTTAACTTCATCATAGATCTACTGATGGAAATAACTTTCTCGTCGACTGAGTTCTCGGGTATTGATCTCCTACCAGGAGGTCCACTTATCGACTTAGAATACGCAGATGACATAGTCCTGTTTGGTGAAGACGCTGACGAAATGCAGAGTCTTCTGGTAGCACTGAGCAACAATGCCAGAATGTTTGGAATGCGCTTCTCTCCCTCTAAATGCAAGTTGTTGCTTCAGGACTGGTCTGCGTTAACACCTGAACTAAGGATAGGGAGTGAAGTAGTCGAACACGTCTACAACTTCACTTATCTCGGAAGTCTGATCAGCCCTAATGGGTTGGTGTCTGACGAAATCTCAACACGGATTCGAAAAGCTCGCTTGGCTTTTGCCAACTTACGTCACCTATGGTGTAGGCGAGATATCCGTCTATCAATAAAAGGACGAGTATACTGCACGGCAGTCCGTTCTGTTTTAATTTACGGCAGCGAAACATGGCCATTAAGAGTAGAAGACACTCGTAAGCTACTAGTATTTGACCACAGATGCCTTAGAAATATTGCTGGCATCTGCTGGGATCACCGGGTAAGTAATTGTGAGGTTAGACGCAGGGTATTAGGGAATGATGGTAAATCAGTTGATGAGTTTGTCAATCTTCATCGACTGAGATGGTTGGGCCACGTGTTACATATGCCTGAATACCGATTACCACGACGTGCAATGCTAACCGGTATTGGAAATGGTTGGAAGAAAGTTAGGGGCGGCCAAACCAAAACGTGGCATCAGTGCTTGAAGTCACTAACTTCTAGTCTGAGCCATGCTGGTAGATGCAGACTACTTGGTTGGGGTCCGCGTGACTATCGTAACCAATGGTTGGAGACTCTTGGTGACATGGCTCAGAATCGATCACAATGGCGTCGGTGTATACACTCTTTGTCTTCCCTTAAACTATGAGATTAAAATCGCTTCATATCTTTCTTTCTACGAACCAATTTTTTCTTCTTGTACTATATCTCTATATGCAATCTTTCTCTTATATATTACCACCTTTGACCTAACCACTGCTATGAATCCGGTGTTCATCTTGTTGTGCTGATGCGGTATGGCAACCTGGACCGATGCACATATGTGCCTGGTCCTACGTTGTATCTGACTGACTGATATATATTTAGTGCCCCCATGTACCAATATTTGTGTTCAAATAAAAAAATAAAGTCTCGGAAAGACCATATATATTGGTGGTCTTCTGCTCTCCATACTTCTGTGTAGAGCTATTTAAATAAAACTAACTCTTTGCAAAAGTGGAAAGAATAATTATTTTTCTAAATACTTCATCCTCGTGTTCTACCTACACTTAAACTATTAAGGAAAAATTTCTGTCTAATATGATCTTATGACTATTCTTCTGTTATGGATTACTTTAGGGGAGATAAGCGGAATTTCGTCTGGGCAAATGGTCGATGTTCAATTCTATCAGAGTTTGGTACATTACATATGGAATTTAAATACCTTTCTGAGCTAACTGGCAATCCGGTCTATTCAGAAAAGGTTAGTTTTCAAGTAGTTTGCTTACTTTTTATGTAAAATAATAGTGAGAACTGTCTTACCCCCCCCCCCAACTATAGCTTGTTTCCGATTGACCTAGTGTTGCATAAGTGTGCTAGAAAAAAGCAGTTTAATCATCACAGTATACAATTAACGTAATTTTCAAAAACATGTTAATAAGATCCACAACATCCTTGGTTTTGTAAAGTCATCCTGTGTTATATGTTTACTATATGATCCCAGTCCATATAATTTTTTGACCATCATTCTAACCCGATTACTAGGTAGAATCTGATTAGCTCCATGTTGATTACCTATCAAAAATTGATCAAGGACCAAAAGTACTTAAATTATGACTCCAAATGATTACATATGAGATGAATTATGAGTTTTTTTAAGGCTAAATATTACTCTTCGTTGATTATTGTCGAACTTGTATTCAAAACATTCTATTAATCAGTCAAATTTATGATTCTGTGCGATCTACAATTAGTTAGTTGTTATTCTTCGCATTCTAGGATACAAGACGTAGCTTATTTCAGCATTATTGAATTATCGATAAGTCACAGTTCAATTCACAATATCTTTGTCAAAGTAATTATCATCTATGATAATTATTGTAAATGCGTTTGCAATGCTATATTGTTGTATTACTGTAGGACAAACAAAATATTTTTAGTAATTCTACCTCACTAATTTTTACATTCATCATACTTATGTTTTTCTATCGTATGTGTTTCAGTTTAATTAATACAGATTTGTTTTTTATTTCGAAACTAATTAGCAAATTGTCTATTTTAAACTCTTGAATCCCATTTTTTTCACTACGCAAGATCTAATTTAACAGAGGAGTGAAAGTATTCCACTCACATCAATAGTAAAGAGTTTATATTTGTGCCTTGTATACTAAGTTTTTTTTAATTGCTAAACTGCATTCCAAGTACAGCTTACATTCATATGACTGATTTGCTTTCCTTATTTTTTTTTCATTCTAAAGTTATCTACGCTGTGTTGTTTTAATTTAATGTGAATATAATCAAATTAATATCATTTCTATGCCAGAACACACATTTTTCATTGTGTTGTTGATATTTAAGTAATCGATTGATAAAATAATAATAACTACTTTTTTTATAGTTGGCATAACGATAAGTTTTGCTTTTACTGTGAAAACAATAGAACACCAATATTTTGTTGTCATGTTTTTTTTCTGGGAGGAGGAACAAGTGCCGACGGACTGGAAAGAAGGACACCTCGTCAAGATTCCAAAGAAAGGAGATCTGAGCAAATGTGAAAACTACAGAGGCATTACACTACTGTCAATACTAGGGAAAGTCTTCAACAGAGTGTTACTGAACCGGATGAAGGATGCAGTAGACGCCCAACTTCGAGATCAACAAGCTGGATTCCGTAAAGATCGGTCGTGCACAGACCAAGTTGCGACACTACGGATCATCGTCGAACAATCAGTTGAGTGGAACTCATCACTATACATCAACTTCATTGATTATGAAAAGGCATTCGACAGTGTAGATAGGAGGACGTTATGGAAACTTCTTCGACACTACGGAGTTCCTGAGAAGATTGTCAATATTATCCGGAACTCATGCGACGGACTACAGTGCAAAGTAGTGCATGGAGGACAGCTGACAGATGCATTCCAAGTAAGGACCGGAGTCAGACAAGGCTGTTTACTCTCTCCCTTCCTCTTTCTTCTGGTGGTCGACTGGATTATGAAGACCTCAACATCTGAAGGAAAACACGGAATACAATGGACAGCTCAGAATCAATTAGACGATTTGGACTTCGCAGATGACCTAGCCCTCCTATCACGTACACACGAACAGATGCAGATGAAGACAGCCAGTGTAGCAGCAGTCTCTGCATCAGTAGGCCTCAGCATACACAAAGGGAAAACGAAGGTCCTCAAATTCAAAGCGGAAAACAGCAATCCAATCACACTTGATGGCGAAACTCTGGAAGATGTAGAGTCCTTCACATACCTGGGAAGCATCATCGATGAACAAGGAGGATCCGATGCAGACGTAAAGGCGAGGATCGGCAAAGCAATGGTCGCATTCCTACAATTGAAGAACATATGGAACTCAAAACAACTCTCAACCAATATCAAAGTGAGAATCTTCAATACGAACGTCAAGGCAGTTCTACTGTATGGAGCTGAAACTTGGAGAACTACAACAACCACAATCAAGAAAGTACAAGTATTTATAAATAGCTGTCTACGCAATATACTCAACATCCATTGGCCGGATACCATCAGCAATAGCCTTCTGTGGGAGAGAACAAACCAACTTCCAGCTGAAGAAGAAATTAGGAAAAGACGATGGAAATGGATAGGACATACATTACGCAAATCGTCAAACTGCATCACGAGGCAAGTCCTAACTTGGAATCCTGAAGGGAAGCGAAAAAGAGGAAGGCCAAAGAACACATTGCGTCGGATAATAGAAACAGATATGAAAAGGATGAATTACAACTGGACGGAGCTAGAAAGGATTGCCCAGGACAGGGTTGGATGGAGAATGCGCGTGAGCGACCTATGCTCCTTCACGAGGAGTAACAGGCGTAAGTAAGTAAGTAAGTAGTATTTTTTTTCTAGTTAACTAGTAAAATTATTAAATTTCTAGCTTAGTCTGTTTTCATTCAGTTAGTATTGCTTACTTGAATCTAACCACTGATATTTGGGATTGCAGTCGATCAGTCTCTTATTGCCATATGTGCACCCTGTGCGGATTGCCTCGATATTGCCTTAAGTCACAAGCATTATAAGCACAGATGGATATTGGCTGGCAGTGGAATCCAGGACGCACGTTTCGTCTTATTTGGAACTCGTCAGCTGGATGTACCTGCATCTCAGAGTGGCCACTTGCTTGTGTCTATCAGGACTCTGTATCTAAGTAGATAACGCAATGGTGTTTGAAGCGAGCGGTATTGGGTTCCAGTCCCAGGGCGAACATCAACTTTGAAATGCAGGTACATCCAGTTGACGAGTCCCAAACAGTCACTGTCTATCTCTGCTGATTAAGTCTGTTTTCGCCAAAGTAGGTTATATGACAAGTTGATACATAGTATCTGTTTGTGAAAATATGATCATTTTTATTCGAATAAAAGTGTCTATTTTCACAAATGTAAAATACAGTAACAATCGATTATAATAATCTTATTCATTCGAAATCAGTAGTAGCCCATGTTAATATTTCTTTTAAATAGAAAGATTGATTGACTATATATAATTTTTTCAGTTTATTTACATGCATTTATACATCAGTAGTTATTGGATAAATGATTACTTTTATGAATTGTAAAATAGTCTTTATATTAGCAGTTAATTCATGTGTATTTCACGGTAGGATAATTGACACGGTGGTTGTATCCTTTTATAATCGAAAATTGTTACTTGTAATAACAGTTATTTATATGTATATTGTGGTAATTTGTATAGATTTAAGATCAATAAAACTCATATTACAGGTAGAGAATCACTTAAAACTAAGTAGAAATAAGCAGCTACCCAACTGTTGTTATTCATATTCATGCAACCTTAACATTGTACAATCCAAATGTCCTACGTTAGATTTCATAGTGAGCATAATAACTTCTTTCAAAAATGATGTGTTGGAATCCAGTAGTAGTTCAAGCTTTTCTACTTCATTCTATTGATGATACTGCATAACCTTGATCCGATGCAGTCAGTGATAACCATCTTACTGTAATGACAGTCATTCATACATACATCGCTTAAAATCGGACACATCCATGTCACTTTAGGTTGCCACACCCCATTAACACGATAAGATGAAATAGTTGGGGCAAATCCCAGAGTAATTGAGGTAGTAACAGTATTAGTGGTAATAGAAAAGATTAGGCATCGAAAGAACTATTCGAGAAAAATTATGACTTCATGAAATGGGAAACAAATTTATAAAGTGGCTTAGGAACCTGTAATCTACAGAAAGACAATGTGATTGCATTCGCTTCATTGCGGGCGATTTTAAGCCATTCGTCAAAAGTAGTTACTATCATTAAACAGACCCCAACCGGATAGTCCAACAGCCGATGTCTTCGTTAATTGATATCGTGTCTTAGTTTGGCCACTCTTCCAACCTACCGTTAAACTAGCCGTTATCGCAGTAGTCGGTGATTAGGCTTACATAATACATGTCCTGACCATCTCAGTCGATAAATATTCACTCCCTTATGAATGGATTTGGGATCTTTACCCAATACCCTGTGTCTAGTACCTCATCATTCCCTACTTTATGACCCCAATATACGCCAGGAATGCCTCAAATGTGTCTGCGACAAATACTGGTAACTTACAAATATCCTCTATTTTTATAGGTCACGTCTCATAGGCATCAAGTTAAACAGAGCAAATCTCTCCACGATATACTCGTCTTTTAATTTGCAGGTGAACATCTCGCTTATGCCACAAGTTGACATAGTCAACCGACCTTTCTAAATGTGTCGTGAAACCTCAGCAGACACCAACCAACTTAGGTTTGATGAAACTTCCAAGATAAGTTAAGTGGTTGATACTCTCGACTTCTTCACTCCTTATCATTAGTTCAGTTTACATAGACCAGTCCTAAAGTAATATTTCCCATTTAAATACAATAAAAAAATTCTATATGTATGTTTCCGTTGTTAATATCTTGAACGATATTTGGTAATTATTGTATAGATCAATCCAAAAATTATATACGACAATGTACCCATGTGGAAGATAAACCTTTCATTGTTTTTTTTCAAAAGCGAAAAAGTCACTTTTCTTGCCATCATTTTGTGTAAATAAAAAAAAGTTGAAAATAGTGTAAAAACTGTTTGTGGCATGGTACGCATCTTTTTTGTATAAAAATTTACATTTTGTTGTTTTTTTAATAGTTTTTGTCTAGTAGTGATCAAAAAGCATATGCAGTATAAAATTCTTATCACATAAAAAGAAAATAGAGAAACAAATCACACGCAGACTTTATACGAAAATGTCCATTTTCAGTAGTTCTTTTTTAGAATGTAAAAGTTATAATTAATACATTGCTTCACACTTGATTGGGATTCACTGTTAGTTTTTATAATGCCGACCACCTAAGCTAATGACCGAAAAAACGCTTTTTTTTACTATGTTCAATATTTGATGTACAATCCAGGTTTACGCTCATATAGCAACAAATTATCAGTAGTGTACTGACTGTCTGCAAATTAATTCATAATAGGATCTCAGTTGTGGTTTTTTAATAATTGGATAGATTATACAGTAAATTCATTATTTAAAGTAATCTAAACATGAAGTGGTGCATAAATCTAATATTTTACTCTAGTTAGTTACTCCAATGACTTTAAGGTTATATTCCTGTTGTAGTAGTAATCAACTCTTTAGCTGTCTCACCGGAAGCGAAATTCATATTTTCATTATCAAAAAAATAAACACCGACTAAAATGTAATGAAAATAATAATAATAAAGCGAGATTCAGTTGAAAAGAAAAATACTAAGTCGGTTGATTATCAGGACTGAATATAAAAGAATAAAGATGACAAAATATAAGTGGATGAAATCCAATTTGTAGTTTTGAATGCTACATATATATCGACCTAGTGGCATGTACTAATTAAGGATTCGACGATAAAGTTTATGGTCTCCTATCTTCAATCGTGAAAGTTGATTTCAGTTAGTCATAATCAACAGAGATCAAGGCATAAGCATGTGATAGCTCAAACGACCATACCACATCACCAAGATGAGTCGTAAATAAATCGAAATAATGCAGTAGTAGTTGTTGTTGTTGTTGTTGTAGTTGTAGTAGTAGTAATGACAAAATGGGAATTTATGTATAGAGGAATGAAGATACTCGAAATGTTGAGTAAAATATAGAATAGATAGCCTCGCACCATTACAACTGATTCTTGGCGTATGAACCAATTGTTGGTCACCGGCTTCCATGGGACTGCATCTCCTTACGTTGCTCCACTGCCTTGTGGACCAGACCTTCAGGTTGAAGGCTCCGGGTGTGGCCCCCTACGAAAACCACGTGCTTCGGTCTGGGCACCCGGGCAGTATCACAGCCCTCACACATATCGAATGAGATTTATGTGGCGCATATGTATTTGGTGTCTCCTTGTACTAATATCTGTCTTAAAATAAATAAATAAAAATACAAAAGTGAACTAAGATAGATGTTCGTAAATGATTTTTATATAGCATCAACCATTTCTATAATAAAGTTTTGATATGCAATACAAATCTACAGGATCAGAGTTTTGCTTACAAAATAAAAGTCTGTATAAAAATGAACTTTTTTCAACTAAGATTATTTCATTTAAAATTTTGTAATCGTCTTTTTCATGCTCTCTATTTGCTTTCATGATGTTCAGAAAAGTGGTTTTCTTTTTGGCACGTTTAATTATGATTGACTGCATATAAAATAATAACATTGATGATCATCAAATAATTTTTATAAATAAAAGTACAGTGAGTTAGTGGTAGTTAGATATGATAAACACAATGATCTCTATTGGCCTATTTTATATATTCTTTTATTTACAATAACTGCAAATATGAAACAATATTACAAAATAAAAGATAAAACAAGTTATTAAAATGAATAAGATCAATCTATTATGAAATAGGTAGATAAGTATAACAAAATCCTAACAATTGTTAATTATTTTTTTTCCTTATGCAACCAACCAGTAGTTCACAGATTTGACCCATACCCGCTATCAAAATAGATTAACATAATCTTTATTATAATTTTGTTTTCTATCCACGGTCTTGTCTTCATACTAGGTTGATTCTATTCGTAAGGTTTTGGAAGAAGTGAACAAGCCTAATGGGTTATTTCTTAATTTTATGGATCCGAATACAAAATCATGGTGTGGTAATGAAGCTGGTCTCTCTGCATTAGGTGATTCATTTTATGAATATTTGCTAAAAGAATGGATTCGTACTGATCATAAAGATGTGAAAGCTCTTGAACTATACAAATCTAGTTTAGAATCATTCCTAAAAGTTGGTTTATTTCATAAAAGTCCTCAACATAATTTACTTTATGTTGGCAACTACAAGTATGGCACTATTTCCAATTCAATGGATCATCTGGCTTGTTTTGTTGGTAAGTGTCAACTGGGGTTTTTTATATTTATTTACTGATTCAAATAGCCTTTTATTGAAACAAAGACTTAAATCAGTCATCAATAAAACGTATTGCGCAGCAAAGGTTATCATCAAAGAAAGAACAAGGTGCATGCTTCATTCGAAACCTAAAAGACATGAAAATGATTGTGTCACATCCCACTGTGTTTACCAATCTAAATGTGTGTGTGACCACACATACATACGGAGGAGCAATCGTGATCTCAACATTAGGGTGAGTGAACATGTACCCAAATGGTTGCAGAAACAAATAGAATCAAGTGACCCAACAAGAGCAGAGGACAAACATCCATCATCCTCTATTGCTAAACATATAATTGAAACAGGTCACAAGATTGATCTAAACTCAGCTTTTGTGGTATTGTATAAAAGTGTAAAAGGGCGTATACTAAGGTTTATTGAAGCCTTAGCCATACGAAAATTCAAACCCCCTTTGTGTGTTCAAAAACACTCTGTTCTTACCTTAAACCTACCCTGGTAATATTGACTTATTATCCAGTGATTAGGTTACAAACTGTGTTCACATTATTATTATTATTACTCTTATCATTATTCTTATCTCCTCTTACCCCGTTTCCAGTCTAGCTGACCTTTTACTTTTATATATAAATGCTCTTAACAAGTATATGTATGATCAGATTGTTCGAAATGTATTGCGCTAATATATCACATAGTTCTGATAATCTTCGTCTTCTAATTACATTATCGAAATGTTTGTTAGATAACCCCGATTCTCCTTCACATTTAGCAGTGGTTATCTTATAGTCTATAACCTGAATTCAATCACCTTACCACTCACCAGTTTGAGCTTTCAACAATTTCTTTTCGTTCCCGAGACCGGAAATATACATGCGAGGTTTAACGATACGGACTTAAAATGACAAAACAACTGAAGAACTTGATTTCTGAGAAATATCAATAATTTTTTCAAGTAATAGAAGTTGAGATGAAACAGTCGTATTGCCATTAATGCGAATAAGGTTCTAAGATTGGTATACTAAGAATTTTGTACAGTAACATTTGTATGACCTCAGTTTGTGTATTTATTTGATAGACTGATGTATATATTCAGGGATCTTAATATTGATGATTGTTGTTATTTACTCTATTATTATTTTTATTATGTAGGCGGTATGCTCTCTCTCGGTGCATCAGATAAAAATGATCCATGGTTTCAACGTGGTATTGAAATTACTGATACTTGTAGAAGAAGTTACGATAGTGCATCAACAGGTCTTGGTCCAGAAATATTTTCATTTACTGATCAGTCTTCTGCCATTGCGATTACTCAATCTCATAAAGTGTATCTTCTGCGACCAGAAACAGTGGAATCATATTTCTATTTATGGCGACTAACTAAAGATCCAAAGTATCGTGTTTGGGCATGGGATGTAGTTCAGGTAGCTGTGGTGATTATAAAATTTTGCATAAATTATTAACTTTTTTCCGTCGTTTCTTCAAATTATCAGATGATACATTTTCAAAGAGTATGCTTATCTCAGCCTTATTTAAATGAACTCATCTCTAATCTAATAATATCAGGGGACCATTATAGCTTCTCGTAATGAATCACGTATATACCAGGCACAATGCAAATTTCGTAAATGTCATCATGCATATTTTCTAAATGCTAAACTCGATAACTGAAAAGAACTTAAAAAATATATACAATAATTTTCAATCATAAAGTTATTTGCTGCTAACATATCAGTATTTTTTTATTACATAATTTTAAATATTATATTGACAAGAAATACAAATAAGATATTCTAATAAATTTGAATCAAAAAAGTTATCTACCATAACTTAGTCATGCAATTATTTCATTGTGAACTTTATATTCTTTCCCTCATTTTCTGACGATAACTATTATTCTGATAGAACGTATCAGGATTTTCTCTGTATTGTAGTTCGATAGTAATTAGCCGATTAACTAAGCGAATAGCTCAGTCATTAAAACACTTGGTTTTGACTCATTAAATCTGAAAGTCGCACCATCTAATTCTGTCTAATCAATCGGGTAGTATGATTAACCTTTACACGAATATTGTAAAAAAAAACGGATTTCATATATCTGTAATTGACAAGAAACTGGAAATGATTACTATTATTTATTTATTTGCTAACCACGTTGAATTCAATTGAACTTCATCAACCTTATGGCTTTGATAGGCCCACAAAATCTTGGTTTTTAACTCGTACAGAATTATAAATTGGTAGTGAATGGTCTTATTTAAAATTATAAGTAGTAAATATTTGTTTAAATTAGTTTTTTCACTGTTAAATCCTCTGGAATATAAAATAGGATCTGTTTGTACATTCACTTACGAAATTCGAATGCCTCGTAAATATAATTAGTTCATGGTTGAATGCACCACTTTTTTAAAATGATCTATCAGTGATGATTTATCAACTCTTGATTCGAAAGAGTTTAATAATCCCTTCAAGAGCTTTTGTATTATATATACTGTTATCTGCTCCAACCTGCAGCAATTAAAATATGAAAAAAACTGGCTTCCATCTCCGTAGAGCTGATCTAATGTTTTAGATGATTACTTTATCCTACTAAATAATGTTACATTATATAAATACGTAAAGTGGTCGAACTTCTTTGACGAGAAACTCTAAATCTTGGTTTTCTACTAGTTGGTACTGGCCTACATCAACACCTGAACTAAGGATAGGGAGAGAAATAGCGAACCCGTCGACGACTTCAATTATGTTGGAAGTCTGACCAACCCTAATTGGTTGGTGTCTGATGAAATCTCCACGGATTCAAAAAGGCTGTTCGGACTTTGTCAACTTATGTCACCTATGACGAAGACGAGATATCCGTTTATCAATTAAAGAATGAATATGCTGTGCATCTGTTCGTTTCGTTTTACTTTATGTCTGCGATACATGACTATTAAGGGTAGATAATACTCGTAAGTTACTAGTATTTTGTCACTGATGTCTTAGAAATATTGCCCACATCTGCTGGGATCATCGAGTAAGTAATGGTGAGGTGAGATTCTGAGTATTAGGGAATGATAGTAAATCGGTTTATGAGGTTGTAAATTTTCATGGACTGTGATGGTTGGGCCACGTGTTACGTGTAACTGAACACCGATTACCACAACGCGCAATGCTGACATGAAATCATTCCACAAAGTCGCTAACTTCTAGTCTGAGCCATGCTGGTAGATGCAGACTTCTCTGTTGAGATCCTCGTAATTGTCTTAAAACCGTTGGTTGGAGACTGTTTGTGTCATTGTTCAGAATCGATGAGAATGGTGTAGGTTTATACACTCTCTGTCTTCCCTTAAACCGTGAGAATAAAATTACTTTGTACCTTTCTTTCTATGACCTAATTCTTTCTCCTTGCATCATATCCTTATATTCAATCTTTTTTCATATATTTTACTACCATTGAAATAAGTGGTTGAATGACTTTGTTGATGTTGTTGTGCTAATGATGTGTGACATCTTGGACCGATGCATTTATGTGCCTGGTCCTACGTTGTAGCTGACTGGCTGGTACTAATGAGAAAGGCGTACATCTAATCCTGATGCTGTCTGTGGGATTAGAACCATCTTCATATCCTAAGAAAACTGGCCGGGTTATAAATCTCGTTGAGAGCACCAGTTCCCGTCGGATTCCGGGGTTTCCTGTTGACTACCTTCAACCAACTAAAATCTCGGTAAAATTCACGTGATGTTAAAGCACCTATACTTACTTCCACATCGCAACTTCTTCAGTAGAATCTAATTACTATTTATAGGACCAGGCACATACAGCAGTAATCTCTTCTTAGTGATCGACCAATTGTAATGACTGTGATGCATATTTCTCTTTTAATCGTTTAATTTTATTTATTTGGTCTTTAATGTTTTTTGCTATGCGTTTATTGTTTCAGGCTATTGAAAAGTATGCTCGTACAAATGCTGGCTATTCTGGTTTACATGACGTTTACTCTACTAACTCTACTTTAGATGATGTTCAGCAGTCATATTTCTTAGCAGAAACACTGAAATACCTTTATTTAATATTTTCAGAAGATACATTATTACCGCTTGATAGATGGGTGTTCAATTCTGAAGCGCATCCATTACCTATTCAAAATAAAGTCAAACTAACACCTGGCTAATCAGTCGGTATCATATTCCTAATGTTGGTGATAATAATAACTCCAATGTCCAGAATTTTGTTTTGTGCAAAGACGATATTTTCTTTCACCCCCTCTGGGCTGTTTTTCTTCTGTTTTTTCTCTTCGTAGATTCTATAACTAGGTGCTATATTTTCTTTCTATCGCAGTGTTTAAACGCTGCTTGTGTGCAATTACAGAAAGGAAGAAACAAGAGGAGTGTATATATATACATATATATTTCCTATAACGATCATCAGGTGTGTATAGAACTTGTTTTTTTCTCGTCGTTTGCTTTACAGCTAAGAATAATGTATGTAATTAAATGGGATTACCTGTTTCACAACTTTCCATGTAACATTGTGTTTGTCAGGTGAAAACAAAGTAATTCCCAGCGAATCTCTCTCGTTTCTTGTCACATTGTTCTTCAAAACTTTTTTAACTATCCCTTTTTTTCTTTTTTTCTTTACATTGTATCTCTTTTTCAGTCAGACTGTGATAATTTTCCTATTTAATGTCTTATAGAAATTAGATTATAGATAACGTTTCTTAATCCGAGGTTCAGTGTTGAGTATTCTTGTTCCTTTCCTTGATTCTTTCCTGATCTATACTATTTTATTCTGTCATCTAGTTTATGTTTAACCTTTTCACACTTTTCAACAGATTTCTTATTTTTTCTCTAACAATAATGTCTGTTTTTTTCCACTTTCAGGTGAATGAATTTCTTCTGACTATAAACAACACATATATATTTATATTTTATGCCTATACTTTTCTGCTCCGTGTAAATCTTTAGAAATTTTTATTTGTTTAACTGACCAACGTTGTCAGTCGTACGTTTCATTAGTGTGTAGTTTTGTTTGTTTGTGAAACTATCTGTGTTACTTTGCTTCCAGATGTATATAAATATATATAGTGGAACTTCGCTTGTTGAATGAGTTAGTTTTTTGTTGAAAATATATGATTACTACATTTGGCCCGTTGAAGCATGTTAATGGTAGTGGTTAGGGTCTATAATATTGTTGTCAAATGCGTGGCATTAAACAAGACATGAATCTAGCATGTATTAGTTTTCAGCACATCCACTTATCTCATTAAAATTTTTCAAAGACTATAGATTGGATTGATGTATCTTAAGCCATCTACACTACTAACAATATATGTAATTACCAGGTTACTGTACTTTTTCACATGACTGATGACTCATAGAAATCCCAACTTTCCTAAACTTCCATTAGAAGACTACGTGTATAGTCGTTATGCACGTAATGTCATTCTGATTTACGAATAAAATACCAAGTCGCAGGGTACCACTGTGTTATAATCTCTTTCTTACAGTTATGACCCAGCTATTCCTATTGCTTAGTATTCTCGGACACCGATTCACTCGACAAGTCCCCAAATCAGAACACGGTTGGACAGGAAAGAGATTATATTCCAAATAACAAATTTAGATGGAAGTAAGAAGCACAATAGAGAAAACGTTAGTATATTTATGGTTTTAACATGAGATTCTAGAGTATTCTCCAACTATCGACTAGTGTTGATTGAATAAGAATTAGCCAATCAGCGTGCACCAAAGCAATTGAGCATGCTTAAATCCAGTCTATGTCCCGCTAACACCTCCCCTTTGAGCAGATTCGTAGGATCTGGTGTTAGGAGGACGCTTACGCTTCTTCTTGGGCCGCGACGTACGATTCGGTGGACAATGACCGTCTTTATGTTCATGTTTGTTGCACACCTGACATATATGCTTCTTAAATGGACAGAATCGTACATAATGCCACTCACCACATAACCAGCATGCAATCGTTGGTTTGTTATGAGTTGTTATTGGCTTCTGAACTTATAACCTAGTAATAGCATTGACACTACTGCAGGTTAAGTTAGGATTTGCCTGTTCAATCAACTCGTTGTTGTGTCTGATGCTTTGTAGCCGCTTACACTCATCTGTCAATGTTCTGAGTGTGACGTTTGGGTCTAGATCCAGTCGAGCCAAAAGTCTAGTCCTGATCTCAGCATCTTGTGGTGACTGAAGAGCTTTGATGAATATTAAGCATTTAAGTTGGTCATCTGTCAACGAGCGTAACTTGAACCGTTCACATTCTGTTGACGATGTTTGCTAGAACACCATATTCATCGGCTTAGCGTTTCACCAAATTTAGACACCGATATCGAATACTAAACAATGAGGATGACTCACCGAATATCTCTGACAATCGCACTACCGTCTCCTCGAAACTGAGCTCTCGAGGTAACTTTAGCAATATATGGTCAGTATAACGTGCATGTTCATTGCTTCCCAACTTACGTACCAACAGTCGAGTCTTCCACGCATCGTCTTGGTTACAGAAATGTTGACTTGTTTGTTGAGTTAGTCACATTTTTATTACAAAACTGAATAACGTCTTTATAGATACAGGTTTTTATCTTTAATCAGTAAAAAGTTTCATAATTATTTATTTAAGACGATCAAATGACTTTATATTTCCAACAATAGTATCTTACTTTCAACTGACTCGGAATGGGCTTACCATAATCCTTTTTATTAACTATGCGAACAAAATAAATTTTCATTTAGATATACTCTGAAACATCACTGAAGATTTGTGCTTATGGATTTTCTAATATCTATTTCATTAGGTTCAAAAGTAATTTCTACTGCGGTCGCCTGTCTACACTAATAACACACTACAGTGGTGTAAATCTCGACGTTCTTATGTTTAATAGTTACTATAATTAAACGAAGATATAAATAGGACTCAGCTTTATGTTTGTTGTTATAGAGGGACGAATATTGTAACAGTTGAAACTGGTTGTCGAATTATTATTAATCATAACTTCTTCGTGCGATTACGGGGTAGCTAGATTACTATGTATATGTATGTTTATCATAAGCGTTCGCGTAACCCATCAATTACTATAATATGACTTATTATTCTTAATTTTTTCCTATTTATATTTTCCATATTCACAGCCACCTGGCTCGTCAATATACTGTTGTTATTTTGTATTTTATGGCATGACGCAGTCCACTATGTCTGTATGTAATTCACATTTGTTAGAAATATAAGTATAATAAAGGCTTGTTGTTGAATTTTCTACTCAAGGCATAACTCAGAAGCTTGAGAATGACGGCCTAATAGGAACTTAACTGCATCGGCTCAAGGTCAGTAGTGCTGGTAGGGCGTACGACTGGTCAAATTGGAGACACTAGGCTATAGAGGCAATAGTAGACACAGAATGCACAGCAATTAAAATTAGAATTGTGATTGGTGGCTTGCCACGTGATATTAGTAAGTAATTTTAAAACATAATACTTAGTTACTGTTTGGTCAGCCTTTAAAGTATATAGTGATATTGTTTTCTAGTCTTCATACAAACACTTCATCACATTTTTTGTGTTCATACTATTATTCCAGAAAGATATTTTATCGACTTTAAGAATTTATATCGCATAAAAACCATCTCTAAATAACGAAAATTATTCTTATAATGCTAAAACACTATTTGCATCCATAATTAGTATTACTGGTTAATTAGTCAACATAAATATTGAATCTAAAAAATTCTGTACTAGAGGAATGCGTTTTGACCACATTTATATAAGTTTTTCAACATAATATTTAAGATATTGTTAGATAATTAGAATAGTTTATCGGGCTTATGAAGAAAAATCCATCTGTTCTTACTTTCTGCTTACTTCGATCAGCCTTATTTGATGTCCAGCCTATAGATACGTTTATTAATATACTATAATTCATATTGTAAAGACAGCATGATGAAATACTTTTTCCCTTCAAGTACTATTTGTTTATCTTCAGTTTGACCAAGTAATTTTGGCATTAGAGATGCATTAAAGAGTATTACCTGTTGATTATTTACAAGATTAATGTGAGCATCAAATTTATTAAACTAAGTTTGCGTGTAATATCAAAAAACTATCAAACTGATTACCATAGAATCCAATCCTTAATATTTATAACAGAACTTTGTGATATGCATAATGTACCTTTAGCGTTGCTATTTGACAAACACCATCAAGACTTCACTATGTGATTGAAAAGAAATATTCACTTCACGATAAATAAATATTAAGAAATTTCAGTGAGATTTTTAATTACTATTTAACATTACCACAGTTGTATGTATATTTTCTCTTTCTATTCACTGTCTAAACAAGTTTTGATCATATTGGAATTCATGTGTCAAATATATAAAATGCGAAAAGAAAATGTATCAGAGAAGATGAATTGTTTATAAACTTCTGTGAATATCAATAAACTGTAACTAGCTATTATTTAGATAAGTTTATTCCTAATGTTCACCAACTGAAAGAATATTTAAGATAAGTAAATGCTATGCTGGTTGGCGGCCTATGCTCCTCCACGAGGGGTTACAGGAGTAAGTAAGAAGTAAGGTAAAATGCTTCCAAATGTTATATGTTGGGAATACTTTAGTATAACCAAAAATATACTGGTAAATAAGTATTATCCCATCTAAATTAGACAATACATATTTTGTAACATAACTAATATTTAATGAGAATTTGTTATTTTATAGTAAAATAATTTTTTAGGAAGAATGAATCGTATACAAAATGTAATGAATAGTTGGTTAAATCATTATACTTTTTTATAGTAAAGAGATGAACGAATCATTGATGTAAATATGTTCAACAGGTAAATGGGATATACAAATGTTATTTTAAACTAATCTTAAAAATAAATGTGTTATACATTTTTTGATATACAGTGATAAATTATTTTATTACATTAAAATCAATCATTCTTGACAAATCCTGTTTCCTTAATATCAGAAACTAAGTGATGAAATTTCAAAATCACTGTACAGCATAGGTTCTAAATGTTTACTTCAATGAACTTTCATTGAATGTTCCGAAATAAAGTTGGGATGAATATTGAAATTGTAATTAGGTTCTGTAACATTTTATTAACTTCAGAAACATGTGCTTGAAATATTCACAAGCAACCTGCACAAAT